ATTGGGAGACAAACGCAAAGCATTTGAATCGCCCAATATCCATTTGGCGTGATTGGGAAGAATTGATTGATGCACATTCTAGCGCAACCAGGCGTTTTTGTGTCGCATTCTAGATCTGACCCTCCAAAGGCGCTACCGACGATGGAGAATAGAAGGAGAAGTCTTTATACAGGGTTTTTGATTGAAATTATGTTTCCTTGTATGAGTTATCAAAGCCCGTTCCTTAGTGCTAGAAAAGTCGAAATCCAGTATTTGCCCAATAAGGTTGTATGCTTCTGAGTCTCTTGCAGGTAATTCTCTATCACATGCCACCCTGCCATGATTCAATCCCTCTGTTATCAATTCTGTATCTTTCAAAATTCGCGAGAGAAAAATCGTATTTGAAGAGAGATTTGGTAAAAAATGTTTATTTCCTCCGGCAGCAAACTTTGGAGCCCACAGACATGATTTTGTCACGTTACATTGAATTGACGCGAATAAAAACGCAGGAAGAATTTCAATGCAAATAACAGTTTTGCTGATCTTTTTATTTTTTGATTTATAGTGGTCATTCGCTTTTTTCTTGGAGGAAAGATGGTTAATCCTCGTTGTTGTTTTCTGAAGATTCGAGTCGGTTTTCGAGCTTTTCTTGAATCGCGCCGATGATTGATCCCAACCAAGCGAGGCTAGAACATTTGATGAAAAAAGCCAAAAGAAGAATGTTTTCATACCCGAGATAAATGAAAATCACAATGCCAAATTGATAGTTGCTTCCTGGGGTAACAGAATAATCCCCGAATCCAACAGTAGTAAACGTAACCACCATGAAATACAGAGCCTCAAAATAGGTCCAGCCTTCTACCAAGCAAACGATCATGGCAGGGATGCAGATGAAGAAGCCAATGCCGAAAAGAAGGACGAAGAGAAATTTCAGAAAAAGAGGAATCTTTTCGAAGCGTCGTCTTATTTTCTTCCGAATAAATGTATACTTAAAATATTTTTCATGCTATTTTTTAGATAAAAACTTACGAGTTTGGCGATTTCTCCAAGAAGAGCGCCGCAAAGAACGATTCCCGGTATCACATAAAAAATAAAGAAAATTCTGCCTCCCACAGTCTAAAGTCCTTTTTAACATGAACTCGTAGCTTGACAAACCTTAGGCGCAGTGTTTCCGTAACCAATAGTGGTCACGACGGTCATCACGAAATATACAGCGCTTTTAGGTGTCCAGTTCATCGGGCAAGGCTCCTCCGGATCTTCTTTGAACATAGAAATAGGGACGCCTTTTCCTGCGTATTCCTCTGCCGTTGCGATGATATCCGTTAGGTTCTTTTCGGACAGGACGAATTGCCCGTCGGAATTGATCTCGAAGGAATCCCGCATTTCAACAAGCGCCCTTTGAGATTCTTTGCAGCGGATTATTTCTGCTGGGCCTTCGAGCTTTCCGAAGGAAAAGGTACCAATGATGACATAAATGATGAAGGTTAAAAAAACGAAGCTTTTTTAAAATGTCAATTTTTCAGTGAAAAATATTTATGATCAAAAATAAATGACACTTTCCAAGGACGTCGCCATTTTCCCTTCTTTACCGAGCATTTTCCCTCTTCTTCTTTTCGTCCCACCACCTCGCGATTGACTTCTCTCGTTTCCATTTTCGGAAAACGAACTTTTTTTGATTAATTTCTCGATTCTTTGTTATCGTTAAAATAGTTTTAGGTGGTCTTGATTGCGGCCTGCCTCGAAACTAATAAACTTCTGACAACAAGCTGTTGCCGTATTATGCCATAAATTTTATTTTCTTTGTTACGTTCGAGACGAATTTTAAGGTCAGCACCTTTCCGCATTGTTGCTTTCAAGTTCAGAGCCTTTCAAAGGCAGTTGTGAATATTCATTAGTACAGTCGTTCTCTGACTATAAGGCAAATATATAACGAGAACCAGAGCAAATAGAGATTCTGTAACGACTGCTTTTTCGAGTAAAAAGAACTCTCATTATAAGATCACGTCTTTTTTTTGACATTTTGTTCATGCGAGTAACCACTCATCCAGAGGAATTGGCAAGAGAAAATGTCGAAAAATGGTTGCCAAATTTTACGCGGAAACTCAGGCGATCAACAAGTAGAAATGATTTAGACAGGCTCATTTTATCTGTCGAAAGAATGGAATTTTATAATCATGATTGTGCAAATTGGACTCAAGTTCTTTTTGAAGACCAACATTCATATGAAATGGGGGGAAAAATTCTCGGAAGCGAAGAATTGCTTCTTGATGTATTTGAGCCGACAGCATTTCAAAAAGAGATTCTCGCTAGAAACCCACAATTGAAAGGAAAATTGATCGAGCGAAAAGACTTGAATGAAGAAACTGGAGAATGGCTACTTGATGAATTTCTTGCTGAGAAAACGATTTCAATTGGGGGCGAAGCGATTATTTTGACGGAAAATTTCGAGGGCTTCGAAGTCGCTGTTCGCGTTCAAGCGTTTGACCCGTTTCTTTTTACAAATGATCTGAATGATGACGACTTGAGATTTGAGATTCATCTTTCAAACGGCTACGAAATAGCGGAGGATAATTCTGAAGATGATGATGATGATGATTCACAAGTGATTCCATTTCATAAAAATCTCGTCAAAAATTCCTGCAATATCGAATTTTTCGCAAGTGAAGATTGGGAAAAGCAAGACTGCTTAGGGTGGATCACAATTATGGAAAGATGCGACGGCGATTTAAGAGGTAGACTAAAAGCAGACGATTTGGCATTTGAAGAGCGAAAGAAAATCGCGATTGGAGTCAAGGAAGGAGACGATTATTTGGAGAGAATTGGAATTACGCATTTCGACCAGAAGCCGGAAAATATTCTTCTCGTCAATGGGGTGCCAAAATGGAGTGATTTCGGAATCGTCTGGGATCGCTCAGGAAGAGAAAGCTATCGAAAACTTGGTTACGTCAGAAGAGGCAGCAGATTTTCAAATTATCGATGTCTTTGTAAGCTTTCCATTTATTTTTCAAAATTGTTCATTTTAGATTCGGGATCTCCGGCCTTTTCATTGAATTGGCAGCTCTGTGGAACCACCGGAGAATATTTTTCGAATATTTATGTTTTTATTCTGTGCGAGTGGAAAACTGCATGGAATCTTTGCTTCAGCCCAGTTTCACATGATCAAGCGGAGAAAATAAAGAGAAAACTAAAAGTTTGTCCAGATATTTTTTATTTGAACCGTCGATTTCTCTTTAAGATCTTGAACGCTGAATGGTTATCAAATAAAACTTTCAAAATTGACGACATCGAGAAGTTATCGAAAGCCATCACAATCAAAAACGCTCATTTTTATTATTGTCTGGAGAACCAAAGTTTTACGAAGTCGCTTGAAATGGAAAATTTGAAACATCGACTAGCTAGAATGATGGATCTTGAATTCGAAAACTTGACGACGAAAAATATTGCTCAGAGAGAACGATTCCTTTCCGTCCCATTTTCTGTCAGCATTCTTGTTCGATGGACCATCAAAAATGACCTTCAGACGACTGATATAAAAATGGAGAGCAAATATTCTCTTCACAAAATTTTTATAATCTTGACGATGGTTATTTACCCACGAAGCTTGCTGGGATTTAATCTGAATCCAAGAAACGCTAAGGGGGATTTTCAAACGACCGATGTCGAGATACTCCTAAAAAAGGCTTAAATATCCATCTTTTTTGAACAAAAGTGGCTTTGACATTTTCAAAGAAAGTGGCGATTTAGAGGGAGAGCTTGATTTTCAGCAAGGTTTGTTTCATAATTGTCATCGTTTTTATTTTTTTTCTAGTTCTTCTTCATCAAAACTTTCATTTCACCCGCCCGTTGAGTGTAACTGGCGCTTATCTGGATTCCAAAGGAAGCGTCATTTTCCACCAAATGCTTCTTGCCGGAATCGAATACAATGAGTACATTTTGCAAAATACGCTCAGTGCAGCTTCATCATCGCAAATAAGAATCCCTCTTGACCGACGATACTACGCCTCTTACAAGATGACCAGATATTGCTACGACAATTACAACGACCTCATTTACTACGGACCAAAAAATGAATTTATTAAATTGGCGAATGAGCAAATCAATATGAAAAAAGAAGTCTGGCATCTTCTTCCCCAAGCCTATTCAATTATTCTTACTGATAAATAAAGCTTTTTCCTGATAGCATCTTAATCCCTGTTTACAATCAAACGTTATTTCAACCACTCGTAAATAAGAGCGAGGTTGGCAAAATTCATCCATAAATCCGAGAGCTTATTTGACCTGTGAAACGATTTTGCATTTTTCCGAGATCAACAAGGTTCATGAAGATTCAAATGCAGGTTATTTTCATCAGCAGGATTAATATCTTTTGAATTTTCGATAAAGCATTTCAGTGATATATTTCCCTAGTCAATAGAATTGAAAGAAAATACTATCTTTTGAAAGCATTATTTAATCAACTCAAATTCGAGACACACATTAAATTGTGACAGACTCATCGAGAATTGGAGCCAGTGAATGATGTCTAATGACTTTGATTTGAGCAATCTTCGAAAACAATTTTCCCCATTCATCTTAGTTCGACCGTAAATCTGTGCTTCCGATTTATGGTTTTTCTTTTAACGATTGTTGACGTAGCCTACAAAATCCTCTCGAAATATTGCTTTCAATGATCGTCAATAATCGTAATAACATTTAATATTTTTAAACGTCATTTTGACATTGTAAAACTTGATTTTCCAAAGAAACTGATATAATTTCCTTCGGTATTAAAAAAGCAATAAACATTTGTTTCGATTAGTTTTTTTCTGAATTGATACAAATACAAGGCCGAATCTACGAAACAAGCTGCCGACAACATAATTCTCAAGATTTATCGGAGGATAAGCCCTTAATTTTTATCAGCCTGGACGGGCATTGTAGATTAATCTCGCTGCAGATCGTAAAAGCTTAAGCTCCTGGTGTTGTAGCGCTACGTGAGCGATCATAATATCAGTAGAGAAAAAAACGAAACGAAACTACGAATGAAATATAAAGTTTGTAAACAAAATTAATCAAAAGATAACAGAACAAAAGTTTGAAACTTAAACTTAAAATTTTCTTTCTTTTTTTATGAAATCTTTAGTTCTTCCTGGGCATCCTGTGCCTAGGAACAGTATCCTGCCTTGGAGTAACCGACCTCACTTGCGCTGAAAACTCTGATTGCTACGCATACAATGCTTTTTGCAATTCAACAACCTTGACTTGCTACTGCAACGATGCATTCTCCTACTACCTTACCCCGCAAGACCCCGAAATCGAAGTCAATGGGCAATTATTGGAAGAAACATGCGTCTTAAAAACTCGTAAAGTCCCCCTTTTGCCCTCCGTCCAAATCAAGGCCAATTTAGCTTGCGACTTTTACGTGGAGGAAAATGGCCCGTGCCCTGCTAACTCGAATTGCATGATTCAAATCGATGGAACTGCCGAGTGCGCTTGTTATCCTGGCTTCGAATCGACGGATGCTGACGGTCAAGTCGGAGTGGATGGGGTTACTTGTGAAAGGAAAGGGATGATAAAATCATTTTTGTTTTTCATGAAATCAATTTATCAATCCAAAAATAAAGAATTAATCCATGCAACTCCTACTCCTGTGACGCAATAGCAAATTCTGAGTGCGTTGCCCTTTCCGAAACGGAAGCTAATTGTGCATGTGGCAATCTTTACGAGCCGTACGTTTTCGGACAATCATGGGAGCTGTCAGAAGACGATCTTTTTCCCAATTCATTTGCGCCAGACGTCATTTGCAATCCTAAATTTCCCTGTTTTGATCAAACCTGTGGTGGGAATCAGACCTGTGTCGTGAACAACAACGATGACGGAATTCCCACTGCTTTCTGTGCCTGCGACGATGGCTTTTCCTCTACTGGAGCTCAAACAGTCCTCATGTCGGATGGCGGTCTTGAGTGCGAAGATCTCGACGAGTGCTCTGATGACGCGCTTAACTTTTGCGCTGCCACTCAAACCTGCATCAACCAAGTTGGAAGCTACGAATGCGAATGCTCTCCTGGATACCTTCCAAATACTGACGAGAACACAGTGTCTGTTGCTCCTTGTGTCCAATGCTCAGGACCAGGGGCAACGGAAAATGACGGAGAATGCACTTGTTATAATGGAGCGATTCTGAGCGAGGGTGATAGTACCCTCTGTGTGTGTCCTGATGGTTGGGAACAGGTAGGTAATATGTGTTCGCTAGGAGGAACTTCTTCGACAACAACCACAACTACTACCACAACTACGACTACAACAACAACTACTTCCACGACGACAAGTAAGACTACGACAACAACCACTACTACGACGACAACCACTACTACGACGACAACCACAACAACGACAACTACAACAACGACAACTACTTCAACAACAACAACTACCACTACTACCACTACGACAAGTACAACTACGACAACTACGACTTCCACAACGACCACTACTACGACGACAACAACAACAACTACAACTACTACAACAACGACAACTACATCCACCACAACTACAAGCACAACAACAACAACTACGACAACAAGTACGTCGACAACTACTACAAGCACCATCACAAGCACAACCAAAAGTACAACAACGAGCACAACTACCACCTCGACTACCACGACTACTTCAACAAATACAACTACCTCGACGACTACTACCACAACGTCAACAACTACAACAACAACCACTACCACCACAAGCACAACGAGCACAACTACGACCACTACAACCATATCTCAAACAACAACTTCAGGCGAACCTTGCTTTGGTCCAACCAGCCGTTTTGAAAATGGCGCTTGCACTTGCGACTTTACAATCCGAAGTATCGAACTAAAAGATGACCAGAAAACCTGCCGTTGCAAAGAAAAATTTACTTGGAGAGAGAATCTTGGAATTTGCGACTGTGAGCCTGGTCTTTTCGTGAGTACAAAAGTTTATAGAAATCATTAAATGAGTTAAAAGAAATCGATTCGGGGAGGTTGCGTTCCACCAGAAGACAACTACATTCAATGGAAGGGACCCTTCGGAAAATGCGAAGGAAATCGTCGGAAACGAGCGATCAAGCAAATCGACCGTGTTGAAAATGGCGCTACTGAGGTTAGGTTATCTTCTTAATTAATATAAGAACAATGTCAAGGCTCCTTGGTTCGGAAGAAATGTCAACTCTTGGAAAGTCACTGAAAAATGCGGCGCCGATAGACCAGGTTCGAATCCTTCGAAAGAAGATAATTGAAGACTTTATAGATTTTTGCATGGATTGGTTTGCTGAGTTCAATGAAGAAAGTGGGCTATGCGAATGCATCGACGGTTACACTGACAGCGTTGATGGGTGCACACCTTGGGAAAATAATAAAGATTCAGCTGGACAAACGATCATGGATGAAATTCTCCGACGTCTTCGATTTATCGGTTCGCTTTTTCTTGCTTTTGAACGCAAACAGGGATTTTATTATTTGATTTTCAGAGGAAGATGGTTCTTTGAACTCGATCAACGCCAAACGACTCGGTGCTTTTGAGCGATTCTTCTCAATAATGGAACAGAAGGCGCTCGCGAAGGCAAGGTCTGGTTGCGGAGAAAGGGGTCGAGGCATGCATGGATCCTTCATCGATGGTAAGTACGAGAAAAGAATGTCATTTCTGATGGAGCTCTAGAAAATCTTGATTTGTTCCGCAACTTTGAAATCGAGTCTGCAAAGGGCGACAACAACCACAACGCTCTCCGTAAGATCATCTATCTCTACAACAAATGGCAACAAGCGTATCTGTGGAATTGCCCAAGGTTTATTTTAAAATGATTTCATTCCGCCTCAACCCTTTTTAGATCTGGGTATGGATATGATCCCCAAGATCCGTCCGATCCAACCGGAACAGTTTGCAAATCGAAAAACAAGAAAGATTCTTTCAAATGCCGAATCCAATTCCATTTTGACATCCTTTTCGACCGAGTTTTCAAAGAAACAAAACTCGACTGGTAGATCTGAAATAAAGAAAAAACACTCTAAAAGAAATTTTGCCGGATTATCCTAATTGAGCATTTTTTAAAACACCTGTGCAAATAAAAAGAACCAGGTGCCAGAGAAAATGCCTTCTGAGCGAATTTCAGTTTAGCTGAGATAAACAGTAAGTTAATTTTTGCTTCAACTCTTTTTCTTTCCATCGCCGGTTTTGTTTGAAAATACGGAAATCCCCGCCGCCTCAAATGGCTCAGCTCAAGGGCATCAAAATTTCCACCGAGAAAACACTATTGAAAAAATATAAGAAATAACGTGAGATTTTTTTGCAGAGGCAAGCATTTGAACTTTCACGCATTTTTTCGCGAAAATTCTCTAGATGAAAAAGTGTCATTTCGCTTTTGAAACTTCCGAATTCGCATTTTTTCTCTAGATGAGCCGGCTTGGTTCAGCTATCTTCGCAGTTCTCGAGCATTTCCAGTTTCTTCTGGAGAAAGCGGGGTCCGAGAGCAGGGTTTGAAATCTGAAAATTTTGCGTGAGCACGAGCACGCGTGAGCACGGGGTGCTCATAAATCAGTGAGCATGAGCACGCGTGAGCACGGGGGTGCTCATAATTCAGTGAGCATGAGCACGCGTGAGCACGTGATGCTCAAATTTTCGTGAGCATGAGCACGCGTGAGCACGGGGGTGCTCAAATTTTCGTGAGCCTGAGCACGCGTGAGCATGCTCATTGAGCTCACTCACGTGCTCATGAACAGCTCATGCTCACGTGCTCATGAGCAGCTCATGCTCACTTGCTTATGAGCTGCTAGCGTACCTAGAGTATTTTCAAAATTAAAAATATTAACCATAATAAAATTAAAATCTTGGCAAATTTTAGTTTTTGCAACAATGGGTGAGGGTGGGGTTGGGGACAATACTGAGATTGATCACCTCAACGGTCCTAGCCAATGTCAAGCCCCTTAAATTAAGAAATCAAGGAACGGGGCTGAGACGGCCCGAAGGGCCGTCAAGCCCCTTAAATTAAGAAATCAAGGAACGGGGCTGAGACGGCCCGAAGGGCCGTCAAGCCCCTTAAATTAAGAAATCAAGGAACGGGGCTGAGACGGCCCGAAGGGCCGTCAAGCCCCTTAAATTAAGAAATCAAGGAACGGGGCTGAGACGGCCCGAAGGGCCGTCAAGCCCCTTAAATTAAGAAATCAAGGAACGGGGCTGAGACGGCCCGAAGGGCCGTCAAGCCCCTTAAATTAAGAAATCAAGGAACGGGGCTGAGACGGCCCGAAGGGCCGTCAAGCCCCTTAAATTAAGAAATCAAGGAACGGGGCTGAGACGGCCCGAAGGGCCGTCAAGCCCCTTAAATTAAGAAATCAAGGAACGGGGCTGAGACGGCCCGAAGGGCCGTCAAGCCCCTTAAATTAAGAAATCAAGGAACGGGGCTGAGACGGCCCGAAGGGCCGTCAAGCCCCTTAAATTAAGAAATCAAGGAACGGGGCTGAGACGGCCCGAAGGGCCGTCAAGCCCCTTAAATTAAGAAATCAAGGAACGGGGCTGAGACGGCCCGAAGGGCCGTCAAGCCCTTAAATTAAGAAATCAAGGAACGGGGCTGAGACGGCCCGAAGGGCCGTCAAGCCCTTAAATTAAGAAATCAAGGAACGGGGCTGAGACGGCCCGAAGGGCCGTCAAGCCCTTAAATTAAGAAATCAAGGAACGGGGCTGAGACGGCCCGAAGGGCCGTCAAGCCCTTAAATTAAGAAATCAAGGAACGGGGCTGAGACGGCCCGAAGGGCCGTCAAGCCCCTTAAATTAAGAAATCAAGGAACGGGGCTGAGACGGCCCGAAGGGCCGTCAAGCCCCTTAAATTAAGAAATCAAGGAACGGGGCTGAGACGGCCCGAAGGGCCGGGCAACCGGGAGAATAATTCTGTGCACAGAACTATTCTGTGAAAAACAGAATTATTCTCACGATAACACCCCCCCTTTCCGGGAGAATAATTCTGTGGAAAAAAATTTTTTTTGGCAAAAATAACTATTATTCTGCGAATGCAGAAGTTGTTTGCTGCCAAAAATGAGTCCCAGCGGTAGAAAAAGACTGCCCCTGCCAACCCAATGAGTTCTCTATCAGAAAATGCGCGCAAGGGCCGTAGGCCCGTAGCGTGCTTCATAGCCTCTTCGGTTCAGCTTCTATTAACAAACTATCATTGTTATAGATTGCAAGATTCAAAGACCGACTGAAGTCAATCCTTTTCCACTCTTAGACATGATTTCCAGAGTATTATAGGCTATCTACGACATAATCGAAGTGAATTTTGCTAAGCTCGACACAGAATAGTTTTGTTTCAAACAGAATGGTTCTGTTTCAAACAGAATAGTTCTGTTTTTTCACAGAATAGTTCTGTTTCCACAGAATAGTTCTGTCCACAGAATTATTCTCCCGCCCAGCCCGAAGGGCCGTCAAGCCCCTTAAATTAAGAAATCAAGGAACGGGGCTGAGACGGCCCGAAGGGCCGTCAAGCCCTTAAATTAAGAAATCAAGGAACGGGGCTGAGACGGCCCGAAGGGCCGTCAAGCCCTTAAATTAAGAAATCAAGGAACGGGGCTGAGACGGCCCGAAGGGCCGTCAAGCCCCTTAAATTAAGAAATCAAGGAACGGGGCTGAGACGGCCCGAAGGGCCGTCAAGCCCTTAAATTAAGAAATCAAGGAACGGGGCTGAGACGGCCCGAAGGGCCGTCAAGCCCTTAAATTAAGAAATCAAGGAACGGGGCTGAGACGGCCCGAAAAATCCCACCAGCGCATCGCCAAGTTTGACTTACAATCGCTTATAGTCTATAAGTTATAGAACCTGTCAATTTGAGTCGTTAACGACTGTGAGCACGTCTTAATGTGAGCTATGAGCACGTGCTCACGTGCTCATGAGCACAGAGTTTGCTCTTGCAGGGATCCATGAGCATGAGCTCGCGTGAGCACGACTGTGCTCTATCATCGGTGAGCATGAGCACGCGTGAGCACGAGGGGCCCAGAATTCCGTGAGCATGAGCACGCGTGAGCATGCTCATCGAGCTCACTCACGTGCTCACATGCTCGTGAGCTCGTCAGATTTCAAACCCTGTCCGAGAGAGCAAGAATTTCCGTAAGTCGACCAAAATATATTGAAGTAATTTCTTTTCTAGGTGGAAAAAGCCGAACGGACCGAGGCAGCAAAGGGTAATCCCTCGATTACTTCAATAAAGCTGCAGAAAGCTGGTAACATCACATGTTCTGATCAACTTTCACATTTCATACACAGATAAACTGTCAAATAAACCTTCCATTTTTATTTCTACTGTCTCATTTTCAAAGCAAGCAGACAATATCGAACTTTCAAATTAGAAGAGAGTAAGATTCTTTCTATTATGATTTTCGACAGCGCCACCGGAGTGATAACACTGGCGCCGCACGAAACGGATCTCAACTCTGGACCATTTCGATCATTTGCGACGCGACCGAGCTACGAGCTGGTTACTGAGCAAGATGAAGATTTTCCAGGCGTTGTTAGTCGGCACCCTGGCCGCAAAGGGCGGGAAGAAGAAAGCTGGTAAGTTGAGAGATATGTTTTTCGTAAAGGATCGCTTTTTAGAGCGTGAAGCCGCTAAAGCAGCAGCTTTAGCTGCTCAAGCTGAGGCTGAGCGACTTTCTTCAACTCCGGAGCTCGGTCCGGGGACACGATTCAAATGGACAACTACGGTGATAACGTTGCAAAAACCTGGGAAGTCGTTGCTGACGATGAAGGAGTAACCTCTCTCACTTTCCACTTCGTCGGCAGCGAGACTTCCATGGACTGGGGTGCTGCAGACTGCCCGGACTACGTCAAAATTGAGCCGCAATCCGAGTTGGGAGAAATCCTCGACACGGTGTATTTTTGCGGTTCTGGCGATGCTGCAACTTCGTATTTCATTCGAGATGGAGAGAAGAACTTCATCCCTCGGCAGAAATTCGGTCTGAAAGGATGGGACCATGCTTGGGATACGTTCGCGAAGAGAGCCACCGTGACATTTTCTTCCGACTCCGAAGGAAACGGCGGCAACTTCAAAATTCTCGTCGGAGAGCAGCTCCGATCCTCGCCCTGCCGAACTCGATCGGATTGTCAGCACGTCGACTTGACTCAACATATTTGCGCCATCAACGATGAGACGAAAGAAAAAGTCTGCACCAAGGTCGACTGTACCAGCCACGATCACTGTAAGAAAGGAGAGAATCCTGGAGACCCAATTGAAATCTGCTCGAAAAACAAGTGCGAACCAACAGAATGCCGTCTCAGAGAGCATTGCCCAGAGCAGCACGTCTGCAAGGACAACGAATGCACACTCGTCGACTGCACAAAACACGATCACTGTGACCAATCTGCCGGCCCGAAGCGATGCACCAAGAACGTCTGTACCTCCGTCGGTTGCGTCGGCAAAAAAGACTGTCTGGCGAACCAGCTCTGCGTCGAAAACGAGTGCGTCAGCCATGAGTGTCTCGGACATTTGACCTGCGAGAACGACTTTCCGGAACGATGCAAGGATGGAATTTGCAAATGCATCGGCAGAAAATGCGAAAAACAAGAATGCACCAAGCATACACACTGTCCCGATGGCGGCCTCTGCGACAACAATCCCTTCAACGACCCAACTTTCAAGTGCTACAACGAAGTTGACGGCGTCAAGACCTGCCGAAACCATGCTCAATGTGGGGCAAAAGCAAAATGCCAGGACAAACGATGCGTGAGCGTGGAGTGTCGAACAAATAAAGATTGTGAAGGAAAGAAAGGTGCTGAAGCCTGGAGATGCTTCGATGAAAACACTGCTCCAACTGTCGAACAACAGAATACTTGCTACCCAGTCGACTGCAGTAGACATGACACTTGCGGCGCCAAGAAAGCTTGCAAGGATAACACCTGCGTGGACGTTACCTGTAGAACTAATGCTGACTGTACTGGCAACTTCTTGTGTCACAAGCCAGATCGTTCCGACCCTACGAAGAATTTCTGCAAAGCCGTCGACTGCATCGGACACAAAGCCTGCAAGGAACATTCCAACATCGACTGCCAAAATGGCAAATGTCTTTGCATCAAAAACAAATGCGAGGCGCAACAATGCGTAACTTCTGATCATTGCGGATCAAAACAACGATGTCACGACAACAAATGCGAAGATGCGCAATGCTCCAATCATGATCATTGCCTCACATTTTTCCCGAAATCCAACGGAGTCGACTATCACCCAGCCAAGTGCTTCCCCAACTGTTACACCGAAAAGGGACGAAAGTACTGCCTTCCGGAATGTAGAAAAGTCGCCTGTCGAACGCACGAACATTGCGGGCCCAAGCAGCTTTGCGACAAGACAAAGAATCAGTGTAAAAATGTCGATTGCAGAGGACATGATCACTGTGGCGACAAAGAAAGTTGCGTCAAAAACGTCTGCACCCTCCAAACTTGCACGAAAAATTGGCACTGCAAAGGTGAAAAAGAGGTCTGTGAAAACAACGAATGCAAACAAGTCGGATGCAAAGGACACGACGATTGCGGAGAGAAAGAACGATGTATTCGCCATGAATGTGTCGCCAGAGAATGTACTCTCAACGAGCACTGTAGCAAGAGCCCAGGCAATTTCGAAAAATGTGATAAAATTGATGGAACATGCATCGACATCGAATGTATTGGTCATACCAGTTGCAACAATGTCAAATTGAACTCGTTCGGCGACGACTGCTCTGATGGACACTGCCTCTGTCTCGGAAACGTCTGTCATTGGCAAGAATGTCGAACGAACGACCATTGCGGTGAGAAAGAAAAATGCTCTGGAAATGCATGTCTTCCCGTCGATTGCACCAGCCATGATCATTGTGGCGAGAAAGAAGTCTGCAGGGATAATAATTGTGTCGATGTCAAATGCCGCGATAGAGAGCATTGTCAAGCCAAGGGCCTTAGAAAAACAGCTTACAAATCGTTAATTTTTAAGTTAAATGATAAGCCCTAAAAAGACAAACAAATTTGCGGTGGCGAAGCAACTAATAACACCTGCGTAGACGTCGACTGCCTCGGCCATGCTGATTGCGACAACTTCAAGGGCGATACGGAAAACGCCTACTATTGCAAAAACCAGAAGTGTGAGCCGATTCAATGCCGAGTTACTGCCGACTGTGGTGATAAAGAAGTGTGCAAAAATAGGGAGTGCCAGACAGTTGCCTGCACAGAGCATTCTCATTGTGAGGAAGAACACGATGATACTTACAGGCCTGGTTCTTGAGATTTTCATATTTTTCTTCGAAAAAATATTTAAAAAACCGAATAAAAGCTGCTTGAGCAACACCTGTACAAAACAACAATGTCGAAACAACCAGCACTGCAACAGCAATCAGCTTTGCAACAAAGCCAAGGGCGAGTGCTACGATGTCGAATGTCGAGGAAATCTGATGTGCGACGATAAAGAAGGCTGCGAAGATGGAAAATGCCTCTGCCTGGACAATGTTTGCGAGGTGCAAGAATGCAGGAAAGATGCTCACTGCGGCGAGAAAGTAGGATCTTTTTCTTGTTCAATAAATAGTTACTTATTCAAGGGCGTTTGCGAAAAAAACCAATGTGTCCAACTCGACTGCAAAACTGACGAGCACTGCCTCGACGACAATAGAAAACCTTGCAGGGACGGAAAATGCCGCTGCAACCTGTCAAAAAACTGCGAGCCCGTTTCATGCATGGAGAACACTCACTGCGCTGCTGATGAAGTCTGCTCTGGCGACGATCCGAATGATGGAATCGAAGATAACACTTGCATTTCTGTCGAGTGCAAGAGCATTAACGATTGTGGCGACCAAGAAATTTGCGAGAAAAACACTTGTAAATTAGTCGAATGTACTACTTCTAGCCATTGTGCCGATCGATCTTCTCCTCATGTTTGCAGAAAGAACAAATGCGAGCCAGTGGAATGTGCAGCTCATGACGACTGCGCCGACTTCTTCCCAGAAACTGAAGGCCTCGGGTACAAATGCATCAAGAATAAGTGCAAAAACTTCGAGTGCACAACAAACTTCCACTGCGGCGAAGGGCAACTTTGCAACAAATCGATCAACGAGTGCTACGCTCCCGAGTGCATTGGTTCCCTCGCTTGCGATAGCCTGGCAACAACTGAGGGTGGAGAAAACTGTCTCGACGGAAGATGCAGATGTGAAGCGAACAAATGCGTGAAAAAGGAATGCAGAGACAATACTCACTGCGGATGGCCACAGAAGGCGAGTATTTGTCAGAACAACAAGTGCAACAATGTTCCATGCACTTCTCATAGCCACTGTCAAAACGCTGATGGCGGAAACGTCGCTTCCCGATGCGTTGATGGAAACAAATGCGACCACTCAGGCGAATGTCTTGTGACCAACCACTGCGATTCATACGACGAGCCACATGTCTGCCGAGACAACCAGTGCGTTCCAGTGCCATGTCTCAGAAACTCAGACTGCGGCGACCAGCACATTTGCGTCCGACAAGAGTGCGTCAAAGTTGAGTGCGACTCGAACATTGACTGCGAAAAGGGGCAAATTTGCGTCGACAACCTTTGCGTCGAGTAGACAATCGTCCTGTCTACCAGACTGTAGCGGACCAATTTGCAAGCGAAACGACATGAATACCGGACATCCCAAAAAACATAAAAATTTCTTGCTTATGAAATCTATATTTTGTAAGCATTCTTTCCTTATCTTCTTCTGCATTTTAAAAACTTTTACTTTTGAAAAAAGATGCGTGGTAGGCCATGTCCACGGAATTATCAATAAATCTTTTTCGAATGTATACTATTTTGTGTGTATTGTCAGGCAATGCTACATGTATAAAAGCAGTCCACAAAAACGGACAGGCAGTTATTGAAATGCTTGAATGAATCGAGTTGTTGGTTCCATTTTCGTTGGCTCTCGTTTTCTATTGAGCGTAGACGACGCCGGACCACTTGTCCATCATGAGTGCAGTTTGAGCTCTGAGCTTCTGGAAAAGAGGTTAATTTGGGTAAGGAAGAACTGCGTCAAACCAAGGTTTCGTCGTTGGCATCTTCAAGCTCGGAGACTTCTCGGACTTCGATTTCATTGTCGCTTTTGACATATCCTTCGGCGACGAGGTAGTTGTCCTCCTGAAATTTGTCAAGCAAAAATTTGCGCTCGAAGACTTACCATGAGAAATTCGAAGAACTCCGCGGCGTTGGCAGTGAGAGTGACATCGCCAGAGCCATCCCAGATTGTGATCGAGGTCTCGCTCTTTCGTGCTTTCATTTTACCAAGGATAGTCACCGCATTGCCTTGGTGCTAGAATTACTCTTAGCTAGTAGGGCGTAAAGGGGAAAAGAACTGACCTTGGAAAGGTTTTCAAGGCAGGCAAATTTGCGGATTTCTTCTTTGTGATCTGGGATTTCGAACTCGACGTTTGCCATTCTTTCTGAAAAGAAAATCTTTAGCTTTTTTCTGTGAAAATAATTTATAAAAGAAATAGTGAAAAAAATAAGTTGAACTATTCTATAGGAATGTTTCAAAGCGTTGTTTTCAAACTTGATCGTCTTCATCTTGCAGCTCGTTATATTTTTGGCGGACGAAGTTCTTGAATAAAGAAATGAGCTCGAAAATCAGGCTTTCTTTCTCACCTGCCAGGGAGAGTAGCCAGCGAAACAGTCGTCTTGGACCTTTTGCTCTTCACTTTCGCTATCCATGTATTTGTCCAGGCTTATAAACGTGTCTAAAGCCAAACCGGGTTATTCTAGAATTTATCCTCAATCTTCAAATTACCGATGAGTGGAGCAGCTTGCCCCTTTGCTCGCTTCAGGTGCTCGAGTCTGATTCCCTTCGCCAGTTCATTTGGATCTTCATTAATCGCCGCTCCAAGTCGATCGAGAATTTCGTCCATTTTGTTTTCGAATTTGAAGTCTCCATCTTCTGCAGTGACGTCGCTGCTGATCCTGTCGATTTGCTCGTAATAGAATTGTTGCAAGTCGTACATCCTGAAAACTTTTGTCAAAACTATCTGGTCCGTGAAGAGTAAGCCCAAAATAGAAGCAAAAAACCTATTTATGTAAGAAGAAAAGGTATAAATAAAGATCCCGAAGGTTAGAGAGAGCACAATGAACTGGGTTTCGCAAATTGTAAAGAGAAACTGAATCGGGATTGGAAAAGCTGCTGTTCATCTTTCGAGACCCTGACTCAGGCTCGCTACACAGATTGCCTAGCCTTGATGATGAAAGCGTTATCAATTAAAATAATCATTGGTTTCGGTTTATTTATTTGCTTGGGATTGCTGGGCTTTGTGCTGAAAAAGATATCCGGAAAGGATGAAATCGAAGAGATAGGAAACGCAAAAGATTTAGATTTCAATTTTGATAATCTAACGAAGATTTACGATGTGAGAATCAACAATAAAGGTTTGGCTGACTTCTGGGCTGGGCAACCTGTGCAGAAAACATTGTCTCAAAAGAGGACAGATAGAAAAAGCGGCGGTTCATTACAGCAAAGCTGAAAAATTCAAATCCTGTCTCAGGTTCTCTACATAGGTTGCCGAGCACGGACTGGCAAATATCGAGAAATGTCGAATGAGCGAGGAGCTTCTGAAATTTGTCAATAAAAATTTAGAGTATTTGGCGGAGCTCCTTCCTCTGCAATCATTGGAGAGTGCGGTACAAATCTGCAAGGAAAAAGGCGGAAATCTTCCTTGGAATAGACTGTCATTCGAAATTCCGTATGAAGACGGGTATTGGGTCCTCCCAATAACCGAAGGTGAAGAAAAAAAGACTAATTTAAACGAGTTCAATTTGCTTGAAGCTTATGAAATCTATCAAAGGACGGGAGGGAGAGGAAATTGAATAAAAATAGAGGAAACTAGATTTTTCAATGATATTTCTATCCTTTTTTAGATGGCAAACCGGCTTATTCGACTTTTTATCACTGAGCATCTTCCATTTCAATAATAAGGATGAATCCTGTTTGATAATTTACTTCACCACTTGGATGAAGCAGCTTAATTCTCGACAGTTTCTTTGCGAAAACGATCTCTACGACAGCGAGTCACGGGTGAAGATCTTTTTCGATGAGAAAATCGACTGTGAGCAGATGAATCTCAACGCGACTTTTTGGAAAGAAAACGACTTGTGGAATACTGATTATTTGGGAGAAAAATGGGTTCTCATAAATCGCCTTAAAAACCGAACGACCGGGTCACTTCCGAACCTAAGGACCTTTTCATACTTACGCTTTTTACCCTAGAAGGCAACCTGTAAAGAAAGCCTGACTCAGGGTTTACAAAACTGTGTGACACTCAAACAGGCTCACGAGCCAATGCGATCTATTAAATTTCAGCTAATTTAGCTAATAAAAGCTAAAATTATGAAAACTTAAAAGACGGGATATTGGATTCAAAACCGTTCCTCTTACAGAAGTAGAAAACATAACTGGTTTTCATTTCTGTGACCGAAACCAAAATGCTCTAGCGATTTCGTGGATCCCTTACGAACAGCGATTTACTATGTCTTCCGCGAAAAAGGGGTGAGTTTTGTGAAAACTCTTGGATTTAAAATTTTTTTAGCCAAACTTTCTGCATTTACGATAAATAAAAAAAAATCTGCTGATATAAAACCCCCGAAAAACTTACGTAACGATTCCATCTCCGTCAAAGTCAAGAATCCTGAACCAATATTCGATCGCTGTCGAGTGCGTTTTGTCTTCTTCCGACATGATGAACCAAATAAAGTCGCCAAAGTCGACCCCTTCGGTGTTATATCTATTCGTCGCCTGGGCCATTCTACTGAAAACTTTCGGGTTGACTGTGTGTGACGAGTAGCGAGAAAGCTGGTTAAAAGTCAGCATTTGCGTTTGGCGCGTGTCCAGCTCGAACCATTCGCAGTACTGGACGTAGAAGTGCTCGTAGCTGAAGAAGTGCGGCTCGTTGTTGACGTCGTTGCCCGGCTCGAAGACGTAGTCGAGGGCAGAGAGGAAGTCCGTGCGTTTGATCATCTTGGCAGTGAGATTTCTACCCCAGCAGTGGGCGTTATAAGCTAAAAATGAACTCTATAAGGGGATCAGTCGAAGGCGGAACCAACCTAATCTTTCGATGACAGCTCTCGCGTAAGGATAATGAAAGCTGGGACTGTTCTTTAGATACGCAATGGTCGGTTGACAGTTGATCAAATCGAAAATGAGATATTTCATTCCAGGAGAATCGATGTTGATGAGCTCGCCTCCCTCTACCAAGCGCGTGAAGAGAAGATACAGGTCCGTAATGTGTTCGATTTCTTGCCACAGAACTTCCAGATTGCGTTTTGGGACGTTTCCAATGTACAGTAACTTGAAAAAATGACTGTTAGGAGCGATTCTACCTTCAAACTTGTACCTTGTCATTGAATAGCTGTACTCCCTGGTCTCGTTGAATCGACCAAGGGATCAAAATTCTCCAAGATTTCGGCAATTTGGCTCTTTCGCAAAACAGCTCAAAATCGAGTAAGCTTCGCGAGGACTCCGGAAGATCTCGGCAAGGATCGAGCTTTTCTTCGCGCGGCATTCCAGTCGGAAAGTAGAATCTTGGAATTCGCTCTTTCGGTTGTTTTGGCTTTTCAGTAACAGCGATCGAGCTTTTGGATCCCGTTGAGCCAGTGCTGTCGGCTCGGCGACCACGAGGACTGAAAACTTTCTTTAGAAGGAGAAAAGTCGGTAAATGAGGGGATTATGAAATAGCTTGAATGAAGAGCCGCGTAGCAGCTTCTATGAACACTAAGCCGCGAAGCAGCTTCGCCAGAATAACTTCCAAAATAGCCGCTATTCACCTTGTTCCAGCAGAAGGCGGTCTAGGCGACAGTTTGACTTCTTCATATTCTTCATCAGAACTCGAACAGAAAGCATTTTTCTTCTTCTCATTCACGGTGGCCGTTCCTGTCGTATCCAAAGGGTTGATTCCACGAAGAGCGAGAGAATGAGCTTCTAGCAATTTTTCATAGACGCCGGGAGAATTCATAAATCGATGGAAAAGCTCATCGATTTTGAATTTAACGCGGACTTCTGGCCGTTTTTGGTGTTTTCCCATTTTCACTCTTCAATTTTGCTATTTCGCGGCGTGTTAGTGAATTTTCCAGTAGGAACGAAGAATGGGATTCCCAAAATAAATTCAGATTCTAGTAAATTCAACTTTTCAAATGAAAAATTTCAGTTTTATTTTTCCAAAGAAATCGAGACTGAAATTCACTCGTTAATTCACTAATTTCAAGCAAAATTCGCTTTATCAGTAGAAAACTTGAAAATTATCAAAAATTCCGATCTTCGGAGCGAGTAGGCGTCAAAAATCGTCTTCTCAGTGCTGATTGGCTGCGCGATTGCGCGTTGAGTTCAAGTCTGCGCGAAGAATTTCTCTCGAATTTTAGGACAGTAAAAAGAGAAAATGATCAGTCCAGGAGCAGAAGAGAGATGCTACTCCGAATCAAGAGGAAAGTTAATATTCGCAGAAAAAGGAAGACCAGTTCATCAAATCGTTGAGAATCTCCCTCGACCAGCGACTCATGAACTTGAGGTATTTTCTGTCAAAGGGCTTCTTGAAAATAAATTGTAAAATTCTAGCGTCGAACACGAAACCCAGGCGGCGCAGATGACCAATTCCTCGAGAGCACGAGCGTCTGTCACGAAGAACTTTCCTTCGCGGAAAATATTGACCAGTTTTGGCAAAGCTTTGAAGCCGACGGACTCTACCCCGCGATCAAGGGCTTCATGTACTTCAATCCAGCTTCTCAGGAACTCACCAGGCGATATTTGAAAGCAGCGAAAATGGCAAAAAATCTCGTCCCAGAGAAGATTCATTCTTATCTAACTGGAATCTTTCACAGCGAAATCGAGCACCGAGAAGTTCCAGGGCTTATCAGATGCATCGACTGGCATCCTCGTTTCTCAAAGGTAAAGAACTACGTTTTCAAGAGGGCTCGAAAAACTGACTCAAAACCTAGCTTCAGATGTACCCCGTCTAACCGGTTTTTAGGTAGCGATTGGTTTAAAAGACGACACAGTCAAAGTGTGGTACGAAGAGAACAAGCTCGTCGTCCCTCATTTGAAGCACAAGCGCCAGCAGCAAATCCACACTCTCGCCTGGAAACCCGTCGTCGAAGAAGTCCTCGTCGTCGGCTGTCGAGACTGCGCGATAATCTGGACGATCGAGACGAATTCAATGTCGAATCGACCAGCTTCCGGCTGCGCTCAAGTGATTCCTTCTCCCGGCAGTCAGCCGATCCACTCGCTTTCTTGGGACCCGTTCAGCTCGCTTCTGGCGCTGAGCTCGAAGAACGCGACTTTTGTCGAAATCTGGGACTCGGATCGAGAAGAACTCGTTCAACGACAAGTTGGAGCTTCGTGCGTTGCCTTCGTCGGATTTAGTAACTCGGGAGAGAAACTGGTCGTTTCAGGAAGCGATTCTATCGCTATTTTCAGGTAAAATTGAGTTCAATTTGCGACCGATAAACTGTTCTTTCAGCTGCGTAACCTGGACGAACGAAGGAACCTGGCGAAACTTGGAAGGCCCTGCTTTGAACGTCTGTTGGTCACATGACGATCAAAAGATCATTTTCGCCATCAAAAACAAGGCAAGTACTCTATCCTTGTTTTCGATTTTTCACTCTCAATCTAGATCTTCATCGCGTCTTTCGAGGGAATCATGGGCCCGGACGAAGAAGCTCGCGAAATCGAAGAGTTCGAAGGCGACGTCCTCCAAATGGCCTGGCATAATCAACGCCTCGCAGTTGCGGTTGAAGGGGTCAGCGATACGCTCTTGTACTCGACGCAGATTAACCAGTCGGGCTTGATGGACATCGAGCTCGTCGGACAACTCCCAGGCGCGGGTCACGCGATGTTTCTTCACATGAAGCCTGTTCCGGGGTCAGATACTGTTGCGCCAGGATCGCTGCTCTCGATTGTTCATGAAGATGGAGAGATTCAGAATATACCACTTTTCTACAAGGTAAGCTCGAAATTACCAACCCTTCATTTCTATTCCTTCTATTTAGTCAACGAACTCTGCGATAAACGAACTGAACTCTTCGCACAACGAAACATTGTCGACCAGCTTCGGCTTCACCACCGCCCTAGAATCAAACGCCTTCGAAATGAGTCAATTCAATTCCACTCGTCGCTAGAATTTTTCTTCCCTCAGTTCAAATTCACATTTTAGACCATTTTTTCACTGCTACACTTCACAACTCACATATTTTCTTGAAAAACAAACTGCCTTTATCATTTTTTGAAAAATCTTTTGTATTCCAATATCTGAATTCAGAAATTTGACTTGAAAAGTATCGAAAATGGCCAAGTCGAAGAACACTTCGCATCACAACCAGAACAAGAAGGCTCACCGAAATGGAATTCCTCGACCACGAAAGAGCGTCTACAAGCAGATGTCTCTCAAGGGTGTGGATCCAAAGGTAAGGCTTCTTGATTTGTAACCAGGGCGGCTCTTTTTCTAGACTAGAAAGACTGTGCAGCTCGAAGCCGCAAGCGGCTATTCGAAGAATGAGCCCTTAGTTAATGTTTATCAGTTTCGTTTTATAACACCTTCATTTTAGTTCGTGCGAAACATGCGATTCGCCAAGAAGGGAAACAAGCGAGTCTCAAAGGAATAAATCTTTAGGCTTACCGGACTAAATTCAGCCCATTTTTCTAGCTTAGTTGAGGGGTCACATGATACAGTTTTAGAAAGCCCAGAAGCTGGGCATTCATTTGGGCACCGTATCAAGGGGTCAAAGTCATGCCCGTAAGGCAATTCTTGGGACATGAGGTTCCAAAATAGGCACTAGATCTCTTCTAACTATTTTTTCGAAGGCGGGCCGGCCTCGAGAACCGTCAAGACTCATATATTTAGAAAGCTCAGGCTCTGAGCTTTCAGTAGAGCCCCAGAAATCTTAGTGCAAAGTTGTTTTTGGCCACTTGGGGGTGCTAGAAGCTGGGTGAGAAACCGGAAATTCGGGTAAACTCTGATTAAGAGTTCTTAACCGGGAGGTCAATTGCGTGGCTTGGCCGCAATTCATCTTCCATTTCAATTTTTATTTGATTTCTCGTCGAAAAATACCCATATTGTCATGTTTCAGAAGATTTCTAGAGTTAAACCGCGATCAACCACCCGGTTGACCACCCGGTCTGTCTGCGGTTTCCTAGTTTTTATAGCCTCAATTATTGTAAATATATGTTTTATAAACAAAATAAAAGAGTTTAGAGCTCTAAAACCGAGTTTTCCAGAACTTCCGGTTTCAACTAATGAACTTCTAGCGCCCCTAGGTGGCCAAAGACGGCTTTGCACTAAGATTTCTGCGGCTCTACTGAAAGCTCAGAGCCTGAGCTTTCTAAATATATGAGTCTTGACGGCTCTCGAGGCCGGCCCGCTTTCGAAAAAATAGTTAGAAGAGTTCTTGTGCCGATTTTGGAACTTCAGGTCCAATAAATTGCCTTGAGGGCATGACCAAGACCCCTTGATATGGTGCCCAAATGAAAGCCCAGCTTCTGGGCTTTCTAAAACTGCATCATATGACCCCTCAACTTAATTAGAAAAATGGGCCGAAATTTAGTCCGGTAAGCCTATAAATCTTTCTTTCTTTGAAACAGAATGTCTGTCTGTGTACTTTGGCACTTGAAAGACCGTTCTCTCCGGCTGTGAAATAAACTCATTTTCCGCCGATGATACAAGTTGTTTCTCTTTCATTTTATTACAGAATTCTATTCCGGAAATTTTCTCATGGCATAAATTTTTAACTTGAAGCTATCATTCAATCTTCGTTTCAGTTTCACAGTTCGTCTTTGCTTTTTCTCTTCACTTCGCGGTCTTTTCTGTCGTCTCTTCCGTGTCTGTCCCCGCTTGATTTGCATCTTATTTTGTCTTTGTATTCAATAGGCGCATATCCTTAAAATTTTAAGCTTCCATGCGATTCCCTTCTCTACCTTTGGAACAGACTTTGCAGTCAGCGTCAGTGGGACCAGAGCATTCTTCACAGGCTTTGTCGCAAGCTTCGCAGTCGAGATTTTTGTTGATGAAATGGTCGGCAGCGCAATGATGGCAGAAAGCTCCAGTGTAGCCTGTTCAGCTTTTCAAAAGAGCTCTTCGACAAAAAAGGCCCCAAAGGACAAATGTCGAATATTTTTTCTTTTGAAAGTTTCCTGTATTGCACTCACAAACTCCAAGCCCTTGTTTATCTCCTCCTCCGAGACATTTTCCCTGGTTGCTGCAAACTTCCCCCTTCTTATTCGTTGGGCATTTTCGCTCGCATCTACTCCCGAATTTGGTCTTATCAGAGCAGCAGTACTTCATTTCTTTCACGCAGAATTCTTCCCTCAAACTAAAAAGAAGCAATTCAAAGGTGAAAATTGAGTAGAACAAACTCAGATTTTCGTTCTTCTGGCTCCGAATAAAACCATTCTTCAATCCACTCTTCTTCCTGCTCCAAGAGATTATGACAGCCAGTGTTTTTGCCGGCTTTTTCGATGTCTAAGAAAGGGTTCAAAGGAGTCCGAAAGCCCGATTTGCTTACCCATACTATTGAGGTTGATGTTGCCATATCCTCCTCCACAAGCGTTCTCTAGAATCTCCAAAAGCCTACAATTGAAAAAGTCATTGATGTTGGGGTTGAAAAACGTACCGGCTTTCGCTAGAAATCCAATTGATATTCCTCTTCTTTAATTTCGCCTCTTCCCACTGCGTATTTCCGCCGCCAAAGTTCTGCTTGTAAGTTTCTTTCATTTGAAAATTGACGCCATCGACTAATTGTTCACAGCTCCCGCATTTTGTTCTTTTATCCCCAGCTCCGAATGCTTTTCAAACAACAGTTTTTTAATTGAATTTTTTTCTTCCTACCTGTGGACGAAAGAGCACAAAGAAAAAGCTTCATTTTCTCTGAATACGAAAATCCAGAGAAAAAATGAAGTTCAATACAACCCGCGGCGGAGCATGACGCAGCGTTTTCGTCTTTTGACTACGTCATGTTCCAACGCAACACTTATTTGAGCGGTAATAAATTCCAGTTTTCTGTTCGTTTTTTGTACATTTTTATTATTTACAAAATGACAGTATTCTTTTTCAGTCTTCACTGGTTTTGAACTCAAGGGGCATTGTTCGTAGCACAAAATCGGCACCTTTGTTCTCCAAAAAGACGCTCATCAGATTCGCGGTTTTCGGAACAGATCTTTCTTCCAGTAAGTTTCCTTCAGAGACATTTTGAAAAAGGGTTTAAATATGCGTCTTACCTTCGCGTTCAAGAAACAATGAATTTTTACTGTGACGACCGAGTACAGTTCGCATCATGTCCTTCACTACTGTAGCTTCATCGAAAGAATACGGCACTAGAATTCGGTTTTTTAAGATGGCCATTTGAGCAGGCTTACCTGTTTTATACTGAATTCTTCTCTCATCCTCAATATTCAACATTATCGTCCTGTGGCTCATGTTCTCCCCACCAGCCACAGGAGCAATGAACTTGTTCGACTCCGAAATGAGTTTCTGAATCGAATGCTCTGAAAACTCCTTTTGCTTTTTCCAAGGGAGGAGGCTCTTCCAGAGGCCGCGGGAAGGGATTCTGTTTTTGTCCATTTCCATCTTGTATTTTCGCAGTTGATTGACGATCGATTTGGGGACCAAAGTGATGATCTCGTGGTATTCGACCATGATTTCCAGGGCGAGAATGAGCGAGTCCATTTTTGCTTGCATCGATGCTATTTGAGAGGCACTTGCTGAAGAAAATTCGATGATGAAAAGGAAGTAGGCTATTTCAATTTACTTTTTTGATGCTTTGAATGTTTCTCAACAAAAAGGGTCGGCGCGAAGCAAATTCCGATGTTCTTCGCAGACATTTTGTTTTCCTCGTCATTTTCGGATATTCTCTTGAAGAGTCGTAGAAGCTTTCGGAGAATGTACTGATTTGTCGTAGGAAGCGTGAGGAAAAGCATATTCAGGAGCTCGAGCTGAAAGTCATTGTTATTGAAAATAATACAAAAAGTAACTCAAAACCACCTTAGTTCAGATTTTCATTGAACTTCACTGAGATGCTCATTCGAGAGATTTGAAAATGACTACTTTAGAAGATCTTGTCGAAGGCTTTCGGGACTATGCGCCAGAGTTAGTAAAATAAGTGCGATTTAATTGACAAAAGGTTTTTTATTGAAAATTCTATCGGATTTCCAGTCCTGCACTATTTTACTAGCTCTGATCTGCTTCGAAGCTGATAGATGACAATGACTACTTTTTGTCCGTTGCAATCCCTGTTGGATTTATTGCATTAGGGATCTGCATTTCTGTCTATCTTGCACAAAAAATTAATGTAAAAGATCGCAGTGAGAATATTTTCCTCAGAAAAAATTAAGGCCGCGAAGAAAAAAGTAAGCCCAGAAGCGAATGGACGTTCATCTGGTCAGAACAGCCTTCGCATCGTTCGAGTTGTGCGATACTTACCATTTCATCCTGCATTCCTAGCTTTTCTTATGGCGGCTGAGAAAGAAAAAACCGAGCAGAAAGAAGAATCTGAGGGGGAAGATGCTAATTTGATTGATGCTTAATCTGTTTTTGCAAATGAATTTTTGAGAAACTGATTGATAGCTTCGACATTTTTGATCATTCAATAAACTTACTTGACTCTGAAGATCTTTTAATTTCGCAACGGCTTCAAATCCAGGCGAAAAGCTCTTGATGCACAGTGGTTCGGGAAACGAAGCGAGGATCTCTTTTAGTAATCCGCCTTTGATGAGCGGATTTCTGAACGCTTCTTCGTCCAAAATCTCCCTAGAGAAAAAAAACTACTGTAAACGAAAAAGAAAAAGAAGAAGCAAAACCTCACTTCAATGTCGAAATACGCGCGATCTTCTCTGTACAAATGAACTAATTTTTCTTTTACATCGACAATCGTCTTTTTCGACGGACAGGTTCTGAAGATTCCAGGAGTAGCGGCCATTTCCTCCGTATTTCTGAGGAAATCATGAATTTTTGATCAAAAAAAATGAGAAATTCTTTCGATCCAATTAGCCGATATTTTATACTCACTTGCATAGAAGGTCAATGAGGAGCGGAACTTGACGCCAGGGAGCGCCTAATTTGTGCCGATCGACATTTAAGAGGGTATCTTGGTCAATTTCGAAGAGGTCACCTTCTGTCGAAACAGCCGTCTTCTTTGGTATTTTGAGCTGTCTTTCACGCAAGGATCGTAGAATGGCATCTGCGTGCAAAATGCAAGCAGTCTGAAGAAACCCTATTTCTGGTTCAAAATCCATTAATGAGTACCTGCACAAATTCCATATCCCGCTCCCCGAGGTCCGAAAAGCTCACATTTCCCGTCCGCGGCGGTATGACAATGGCAGTTGCCCATTTTCTCGTTGTTTCTTGCTCAAATCGAAGTTGATGTCGGCAATTTTGCGTTTCTTCCGGAACCGTTTCATGAAGCTTGGTTGGCAAACTTGAGGATTTTTCGGAATCGGACTCGATTTGTTGATTTTCTGTCCAAGCAGTTGGCAGGGTCGAGCGCTTGTTTCGTTTTGTTCTCTTAAACATTTCGTCAAATTCATCATCTCATCGTCAACAAAGATAAGGTCAGCAGCATCAATGAATTCTAGAGACTCAAAATGCGAAATAAATTCATCAAACTTCATTTTTCTTATGGATTTTTTTTTATCCTAAACTTACATCATATTCTGCCTGTATCCTCCTTGTCAAGCTGTATCGCTGATTCCTCGTCAGGGTCCGTAAAAAGCTCTTATCTTCGCCCAGCCTTATCAGCGAATCCTGCTCTTCATCTGAAGCAAATATTTACCCGAAGCTACTGTAGTTCGATATGAAATCGTGCTACTTTCGTTCGGCCTGATAAATTTGCCATAGAAACAAAAAGAAAAGGCCAAAACAATCCAAAATTAAAAAATTCAAATTTCAAATTTTCGGAATTTTTACCTGAGTTTTCTTTTTCCATAGCCTGTTGTCTCTATTTCTCAGTAATGGTCAAGCGGTTTTCCTTAATGAAATCGATTCAGCTTCAGTCTTGTCCGACGGCTTCTTATTTCGGTCGATACTTTTCAATCCGACACTCGTTTCTTACTGAGGATTATTCCAACATAAACTTCAAACTGAAATCAGTAAAAAAGAGGCTAACGAAGTTTTTCTTTAAAAAAGACAAATAAAAATTTGAGAAGTAAAAAAAATCTTCATAAAAAAACAGCTTTTTTCTTAAAAATTTCATTAAAAACTTACCTTGAAAAAAGTATAAAATTCTTAATTTCTTCGATTATGCTCTGAAATAACGGCAATTTTATTTTGCCGACGAGCTGAGAAAAAATCCCGAAGTTTGCGCGATAACGCTATTTACTCTGGAAAACGTCATGCTGATGTTATTTGCATTCCATTTTTATTTCAATGCCAGGGAGGCCACTTTCTACAGCCCACGTGATTTTCGCTTCTGTTCACGAAATAATGACCTCCTCCGCGCGTTCTTTTCAGGTAAAATTGATTTTTTTGGAATTTTTAAACAATGAATTTTTTTTATTTTTTATGCTCGAATTAAACTGAGAGCGAGTTATGAAAAAATTTACAAATTTTAACATTTTTCGACAAAAATAAGAAAAAATTTTTTTTCGTCGGAAAAATTTATTATTTATTCACTGTTTGCAGCCATCTAAAATAACTAATTTAGTAGCCGTAGTAAGAATAGTCTGAATCTTCATCTTCATCCATCGTCGGAATTACTCCTCGGGGATCCATTTCCGGTGCGTATGTATTTGTGTAGATTTTCTTCAAGATCGTGTTGACAATCGTCGATGTTTTCGCATAGACTCCGGCAGATTCACCGCAACTTTTGCCTAAAACATTGAAAGGCAAAAATCCCTTTTGATTACCCTACCAGAAGATACGAGACCATACTGAACTGGGACATTTTTGGCTTTTCCTTCGTATTCGATCTCTTCCATGCAAACAATGGCTCCTCCAGAGTCTCCTTAAAAACATTTGAAGATTCATAAGAAGAATTTCTTTTAACCTTGGCATGAATCGACTCTCATCGAATCCTCAACACCAGGGGATGATCCAGCGCAGAAATATTGTCCGTCGTTGAAGGCTGGCACGGCAATTTTAATGTCACTGAAATGGGTTTTTTAATTTGAACTATGAGAACGTCGATGATACTTTGAACATTGGGTAATATTGACATGCGCCCCAAGAAGATTGTTCGACGTTTCTCGTGTCTCAAAAAGACTCGAAAACATTTTGTATATCCACGAGAGCTAAGGGGGTCGATATCAAGAATCGAAGGAGAATCCTTATTACCAGAATTATCAAGTCCGATCCTGAGTATCTGTGACTCCCCAGCCAGCAATATGGCACATCGTTCCAAGTTTTGGCGGTTCACTTGCAAGGCAAATCGGCTGAAAGCACTTCTCCATTGTCGAATCATAATAAGGTGATTGTTCCGCCGCGTCGCTCAAATTGGGGACTTCGATCAAGCAGGAATCTCCAACTTTGCCACTGAAAGCTTGTTAACATTTTGTTAAGAAAAAGCGCCAACTTTTCCTGGATAGTAAAACTCTCCCCTGCTTCAACGGAAAATTCATTCGTTTCATCTTGAGCTTCTCTGTTTGCATCACAAGCAATTATTTTCGTAGGCTGACCGAGCTTTAGCCGATCCTTCATCGAATCACAGCAATGATCTGCAGTAAGAATGTAGTCTTTTTCGCCACTTGGATTTTCTCAAAAAACCGTTTTTAATCAAAAAGAAGAAAAAATGTACCAGTCAAAATTGAGCCACTGCAAAAACTCGAGCCGTCTTCAGTAAACTCGATTCGAACATTCCAAGGGACGGATTTTTGGGAAATTTCTTCGGCATCTCCGAATGTTGCATTTCCGTTCGGATTGTTGATCATTACGATTCTGTCTTCTATTGGCTGATTGTCTTCTCGAGATTGGCAAGTAACCCCGCCGAGGACCTTCTTTGGTTTCAAGGTTCGAATGCACTAGAATTTTGAACAATCATTTCAGGGAAATTTCAACTCACTTCAAAGTCTTTGGCAGTCTCACAACCCGCTTCGCAAAGACATTGGTTCGCTGGATCGGTGTAGTGAGCATCAAGACACTCATCGTAGCATTCCAGACCCGTGAGAGCGTTGCTGCAGTCGTTATCCTCAAAGCACTGAACAGTTGTATCGGCAACAGTTTTCATGCATCGCTTCAGATCAGCGTCATTCTGAGGACTTTCGCACTCCTTCGGTTTCTTGCAAAATTTTGACTGGCAGTTTTCATCGCAGCCGCCGGGGCAGGGTCCGTCAGGGACACAAGGGCAGTTTCGTTGGCAAGATTCAAAGTCGGCCTCGCAGCTTTCCAGGCACTCGTAATAGTCTTCAGCCCCAAAAATGCAGGATTCTCTGAAAAAAGATGAATCAGGGTATCCTTTTTCTCCACATACTTGCAGGCAATTACTCCTTTGACATCCTCACTAATGCAGTTGATCTCGCATCTTCTTTTCGCATCATTCGAGTCACTATCCTTGCACTCATTGTCATCCCCGATCGCTGAAGTTGACTGTGTTATCGCGCTGCAAAACGCAAAAAATGTCAGGAAAAGTTTCATGTTTTTTTTGCCTCCACTCTGAAGACCTCCTCCTGCCTTGCAGATTTTTTCTGTTTGCAAATAATTGAAAGACAAATAAATACGCTGCCATTGTTACTTACAGTCAAATTATCAAAAAAAAACCAGCGGTTGAAAAATTCTTCATTCATTTATTTTCCGGATTCTTAAAAAAATTAAAAATGAACAAAGAAATCAAACTTCTTCTTCCTTAGCTTCGGCATTTTCTTCAGCCTTATTCTCCTCCGCAACAGTCTGCGCCTCAGCCAAGTTGTTGAAAATCCATTCGCGGTCGATTTGATTCCAGAAGCAGCAAGTCTTAACCGTTCAAAATACTCGAAAAAGAAGTCGCTTCCAAACCTGTATGATGAGAGTGACGAGGGCCAAAAAGAAAAGAGCCACATTGAAAACCAGATGGACGGTCCTGACTGAAAACAAGTCGACGGTTTCGAGCGTGGCAGAGATATCAAAATTAATAATCGCGAAATCCAGAACGATGTTGAAAATAAGAGCAAGTATGAAAATCAATTCCTGGTAAAAATGGTAAAAAGGATATTTGATGAAATTTACCGTGATATTGAACATTGCTCTTTTGACGCTCGTTTCCGGTGTGGCCTGATTGTGTGTCGTGTAAATGCTGGTTCCGAAGCCAGAAGCGATGAAGCCAATGACTACGCTGCCGAGACTGACGGAAAGAATCGGCAAGGTGTAAAAATCGGCGGAGAGGGAGTTTTCTGCATTTGAGTGGCTAGTTTATTCCTTTACGAAAGGACCAAACAATTTTTTTGCATTAGCCACCCTGATCTGAAGAGCCCTCGATTTCATAATGATCGTTTGCTAGACGATAAACCTCGTCGAACGACAGGAACATAACAACTGAGATAAAACTGTCATTTGATTCACAGAAACCAAAAACTTACGAACTAGGATCACCCACTGAGCGATAATGATTCCCTTGAACTGGGCCATCGTCATTTGACCTACACATCCCCATAAATTGAGTGGAAAAAGTTTCTGAAAAGATTTAGGAATGTGCCCTGATTCTCTCGAAGTACCTTTTTGGCGCTAGTAAATCGGTCTTTCAAAAAGTCAAAAGTTTTCATTTTATCTCAATCGTTGAATATATACATCGGTATGGAAATTATTTCCGTTCAATGTTTTTGTTGCAAAAAGTTTTAGACTTCAAAACTAGGTTAAGTTTTCAGGCATAAATATTCAACACAGCTATGCTAGAATTTTCATTGTATTTTGACAAGAAAATGCTAAGCCTTAAAAATCTTAAACCGCGTCTTTTTGGAACAACCCAAAGCCGGTTCCGTATCCGATTTCAGCTCTCAATTCGAAACGCTGAGCATATTTTTGCTCAGAAGAAGAATTCTCATTTTCGAGATGCAGCTTTCTCCATTTTTTCTCACTGCTGTTTCTGCTTCTGAATTCAAGTGAATGTTCGAAATTTTTGAGTCGGGACTTTTCATTGAATAAAGATGAAATCTTTCAAGTTTTTCGTTTTTTCGAACAGAGAAAAGGGATTCGGCTTTCCATTCGACCGGCCGTCGAAGGACTCTCTAGAACGCATGGATACCAGGATCATCGGCGGAGAGGTCTCAGATCTCGGTAACTGGCCCTGGCAAGCCGCGATGCTTTACGCTAAATATGGAAGTCACATTATTTGTGCCGGAACAATCGTGACGAAAAAAGTGGTCATCGGCGCGGCACATTGCGTCGGAAATTTTGAAACGAATCTTTTGACTTTTTCTGCTGGCCATACCGAAGGTTTCAATGCAAAGAAAAGGGCTCAAGAATCAAATAACAACAAAATCAAAAACAATCGCGAGCCCCACTGAACAGAAATCAAAAAGAATCATACCAATCCAGTCCTGTCAAACGAGCCGTTCCTCATCCAGATTTCAATAACTTCTTTCACAATGATATCGCTCTTTTCGAGCTAGAAAAACCATTCACCTGGACGGAATTTGTAAAACCCGCGTGCTTGCCTTACTCGGATTTCGTTCCTTCCGATTCTGGCCGATGCGTCGTTAGTGGCTTCGGCAAAGGGTCGAATGATAGGCTTACTCATGTGGTTCTCCCGCTTTGGGAGAAAGCATCTTGCAAGTCGATTCTTGAGTCGCAGGGCGGCGCGACCTGGACTGGACTGCCACTTGATGAATCGCAATTTTGCGCGGGCTACCAACCAGGCGGACTCGACGCCTGCCAGGGAGATTCTGGAGGGCCCTTCGTCTGCAAGACGAACCAAGGATGGGTTGCAACAGGCGCAGTTAGCTACGGATACGGCTGTGCGGAGAAGAACATGCCCGCTGTGTACGCCAACATTCCGCTTTATCGAGATTGGATGCTCGCTTTCATTGGGGAGTCGAATGATGAGATTCCGGATGGTTGTGGGGAGCCAGTAAACAAGGCGAGTTTTGGAGACTCAATTTTGGCACCGACTTTGCTCGATGTCGAAAATGGGAATTTGTGGGAAGGAGAAGAGCATCGATTTGTTCAAGGTATGCAATTGCCAAATATTTATTTATTTTATATAAAAAACAGAACAAAACAAATTTTAAAAGGGGGGAAGATCCTCTCTTTTTCGACGAACTGTAAATTTTCCGAGCATAAAATAAAAATCAATTCGCTAAAATCAAACAGGATCAGGTGCTCATCCATGGATCTAATAAATGCCAAGAGAAAATGTCTCGCAAATCTAATAACTTTAATTCGTCTTGACTCTTCTTTTTTCGTTCGCGTGCGCGTCTATCTTTTTTTCGCAAGTTCTCATTTTTTGGCGAGCTGGCATTACCGAGTTTTTGGATATGGAAATCAAAGAGGAAAATGATTTTACAGAGAATGCTTTCGTCAATTTTCTAAATGATAAATAAGGGTCAAATAAACTTTAAATCTAATATAAATTATTATATTATATAATCTTATTTTTATGTGTCCATAAAAATCAAAGAACCTTGAAAAATCCTAAATTGAAAAAAAACCATAAAGTTGCCAAAAACCGAGCTTTTCAGTCATTTTTGGTGCGCTGATCTATTGAAAATAGAAAAAAATATCGCAGAAATTTTATCTGAGCAAACCGATTTCTAGAATATAAAAATTGACCCAAAGAAGCCCTCTTTTGACAGTTCTCGCCGCCTTTTTGCTCGCTCTTCTTATATTCTTCCTAATCGCCTGGAAATGTTGCCGAATCGACATGGCTGAAGGTCCTCGAGATACAGTCACTCAAGTAAGTCTTCTTCAATCCGATTAACTAACATCAGAAAAAAAGTCTACGACCGCGGCAGGAAGGCTTTCATCGATTGGAACGGAGAAGAAACAGTCAAGAAGCTCAAATTACTCAATGAAAGTGTAATAATCAAAATAAAAATGAAATGAAAAAATGCTGACGTCATGAATTTTTATTTTTTGAGTTGCTAACTCCTCGCTCCCGATTTGGTTGGCAATACGGTTAAAGTAAGTGCGCGAGCTTTGCGCCCCTAAGTGGCGAAAGTTGCGGCCTACAGTAAGTTTACTCGTCAAAGTTCGATTATCATTCGAGCTTCAACTTTCCATTTTTCTTACATGTTGAAATTTAACAGACCATCAAGTGCACCGAGCTCGAGGAAGCAGCAGACGAGGTCGAAGAGTAATGAGAGAAATAGAAAAGCACTCAGAACAGGTATTTTTTTTTCATTTTTTTTGCAATTTCGAGTCAAAAATCTAGAATTGGAAAAATTGTCAGTCGATCATTTCAACGCGCTTTCACTTTCAAAGCCAAAGAAAAACGTCACCTGCCGTCCAGTTTCGGCAAAAGGACGAATCTCCTTCCGGCCCGAAGTGGTCACCTCCGACGATGGCTTCGAAGAAGAACTGAGCTGGCCCGAGCTGCCAGACCTCTGCGGCCTGTGCAACAAACTCGTCATGGCGGCGACGAAATGCACCGTGCTCAACGAGAGCTTTCACAAGAGCTGCTTGAACTGTGCCGACTGTGGCGAAAGTTTATTGAGGTTTGCTTTTTAATTTCGAACACGGCGGGAGGCGGTTTGTTTAGGGACAGTAGGGGGGCTATCGATTCAGTTTGATTTTCGGAAATAAAATTTTGAAATAAAAAAATAGGGATTCCACTTTAAAAATATCCGAAAAAGATGAATTTTTAATTTTTATCAGAAAATTTCATTTTAGAGATTTTTTATTAAAAAATTATTTTTTTGACTAAAAAATAATAATTCAGAAATGATTTCAAACGAGGAGAAGACAAACAGTTCTACTGCCAGCAATGTCATCTTTCCCGATTTGCCAAAAAATGCACAAAATGCGAAAAGGTACGATTTTTTCTTTACCCATTTATACCCAAAACCTTCAGCCACTGATAGGAATGGCCTTGAATGTCAACTCGGAACTGTATCATCCAAACTGCTTCAAATGCGATTCCTGCGACACTTTCCTTTACCACCAGAAGTACAGACATCAAGGAGGAATATTTTACTGCATTGGCTGCTATGAAGAGTAAGTGATGTAAAAGAGAAAGATTGACAAATAGGGATTTAGGGGCTTTTCGAAATTGATTAATTACTTGCGAAAAAAGGGTACCCTGCTTTTAGGAAGTGGAAATGGGCGGCAGTAAATGGCATCTGTTTCCAGGTGACCTTGTCAGCTTCGCACAATGCGCGCTTTTTTATGGGTCTTTTTTTTTACGGCCAATCAATGCCCTAACGAATATTTCCTTATAAGGAGTTTTTCAGGGATTTTTAAAAATTGAATTCTCTTTTAAGAAATGTTCTGTCAACCTGCTGGTACTGTTCCGACAAAATAAGAGCAAATTCTTACGATGGACTCATTGAAGAAGTGATTCTAGGGAATCGCCATTTTCACCGCAGATGCTTCTCGTGCCATGTAAATTCAATTTGTTTGAGCAAAATCTAATGCAGTTTCAGGAATGTGGGAACAACTTATCGGACCCGAGCGCGGGCGGATGCTTCGAACTTCAACAATTCATTTTCTGTAAATCTTGCTTTCTCAAAACTGATGATATTCCATGTTAATACATTAACTGTTTGTTCCGTCTCCTGCGAAATAAGCAAAGCGAAAAAGATCCCTGAGAAAGAGAGAATGCCAATTTTTTATTATTTTTTTTTATTGTAACTAATTTTTTGTGAGATGTCAAGAAAAAAAATAGCAGACAGAAGAAATAAAGAGCTAATTTTCAGTAGCAAGGTCAGGAACTTCCAAATGAACGTCAATGGCTACTGGAGACGCGCCGGAGAATAAGATTTTTTCGCTAATCTTAGTGAAGAAAGCGTCAATGATTTGCGCTGAAGTTTGCTCGGGGTAGAAAATCATTCGAACAAGCTGGAAACCGATGTACAAGACGACCAAGACGATGTTTAAGACACCGAGGACCAGGAGGAGATAATTACGTATCTTCTCCCCTTTTGTTTTCGCGTCGAGGAGTGGCACGACGGCTTGGGTCAATTGGACAAGCTGTCCGACAACAATATCCTTCCATGACCAATCCTGAATCTGACGGTTCTGCTGCGGAGGCTGCTGAGGCTGGAGTTGCTGGGTCTCCTGATTGCTAGTATCGTCGTCCCCTTGAAGTAGAGGTTCTTCGTCTCTGGATGAAGGATGACCTTGACCTTGTTCAACATCATCCTCGTGAGCTCGTTGTTGTTCATTACGACCACAAATCAATTCTGGAAAACCACCGGCAGCGGGAGGTCCTATATTCATTATAGGAGGTCCGACATTCTTTGATTGACTTTCGGAACCAACGTTTCGATGCTAAATAAAAAATTTATGCCATGAATATAACAGTTTTAATTAAAAATCTCTATAAATGTAATAAAATTCAAAATTATTGACATACTCTAAGTTCATTCTTTTTCTCTGAATCGGTCATTCTCTAATGAAATTTTTCTCTGAATTTTTCGAACTTCGATTTTTGTTCGGCGATTGCTGTCGGCGTCTTGGTTTTAAAGGCAGAGAAAGGAAAATGATTAATTTTTACGATGCGAGTTGAAAGCGCGCAATCATTGTGGAGAATGTGTAACGATGATTTTGACTTTCCCTTTCAGAAATTGTATTAAAGAACCTTCTGGAAGCGTCTTGAAGGGAAAACCAGAAAATTTGTATATTTTGAAAGGGCTAAAGACAGTATTAGGCCCTTTGCTACTAATTCTAAACAAACATTACTTTCGTTGAAACAATATTTATTGATGGAAATTCCGAAGAAGCATTGACAAAAAATTTTGAGTCATCAGTACTACTGATTCAGTAGTCGGCTCGCTCAAATTCAATCGGGCACGCGCCAGGACCATCAGCAGGCTCCGCATGAATTCCGCGAAGGTTCATTCTGCATTTCATTTGATGAATTCGTTGTTTTGCGTCTTCCACATCTTCAAAAAAGGCTCAAGTATAAAAAAGCAAATATCGAAGAATACCAGTGACATCTCTTGCTGACCAGAGTCGCTCGGCAACGGCAGAAGCTCGTGGAAAAAGTCGTGAAACATAATTCGATGCATCGACAAACTCCGACCAGAGGCAGGTTTCTCCTCCAATGACCAAGTCTTCCTCTTCTTTTGTTCCATTGAAAGCAAGTGGCTCGTACTAAAAACTGGTTGAAGCAGGGGTCTAAATTCGCAGTTAAGAAGGAGAAAAGGCCACAAACATTGTAGTAGTAAACCCAATCTCTTCCGTAGCTGATGAGGTCCAAATACCACGGCGCGCTAATAAGCGCTCTATTTAACATTATCAATTTGTTACAAAATGAAGATAACCGCGCGATTTGATAACGATTTCCTATAGCCGGCTTTTGTTACGTCGCGAGTTGTGTTTAATGGATGGTACGGAAGCCAGACTTCTACAACAGTACTTTAGAAGGTTTCATCAATCTGGAATCGTTTTTCCTCAGAATAAGCACGGTGGCCTAGTTTTTTTGACCGTCATTTGTCAGAGTTGTGCATGCATTTGGTTGACAAATCTGTCAAAAATACGCGAAAGCACGATTTTTTTGCAGTTTTTTTTTTGCAATTTTCTTCATAATAAGGCAAGTAGGTCACAAAAATCATTTTTCGAATCGGATAAAATTTTCTAGTGCAAATTTTTTTCAGATTTTTTTTTTGAAAAACCGGCCTTGGATCAATTTCAACCCCGTTGTCGAAAACTTCCTCCCAGACGATGTAGTTGAATCCGACTTCTTTCGTGATGTTCAGCACATTTTTGACCCAATATTCTTCCAACTTCGCGTAGTCGCCGGAAATGCCATGTTGGTACATCCAATCGCTGATGTTTTTATTCGATTTCCAGCAAGCAAATGACACTTCATCGCCTCCCAGATGGACATAATCGTCGTGAAAGACGTTTCTAAAGTCTTGGAGAACAGTTCGCATGAAATCGTAGTTCGACTCGTTTGTTGGATCTGCTGGGCCAAGCAAGCCTGTCGGTTTTCCATCGGCATCGTAGCAGACCGTAGCAAGACCGGGGTGTCCCTTGGCCGCCGCGCCAATGTGCCCGGGCGTGTCAAACTCTGGAATGACTCGGATGCCCCGGACTCGCGCGTATTCAATAATCTCCTTGATTGTCTCCAGCGCGTAAACGTGGCTCCGCGATGGCGCAAAATAGGCACCTTTCAAGGCTGAGTACCGACTCTTGAATTCTTCCCTCTACTTTTATACTAAGCACTTGTTCATAATAAATATAAGAAAGAAAGATCATTTTGGGGCAAAATCCGGTACCAAAAGAGAGAGAAAGCAGGATGTTTCTTAAGGGGGTAGACATCACAAAAACCGCTTTAAGACCGTTATTTTATTAAGTTTTTTTAGATCCAAAAAAAATTTAAATTAAAAAAATTTAAAATATAAAAAATTTAGTTTTCAATTTTTAAAAATATTGAAAATTTAAAACCAATAAGAAATTTAAAAATTGAAGAAAAATCTAGAATAAAAAAAATTTTTTGATTTTAAAATTAATGTTCTTTGTATTGTTAATTCAAGATCGTATTCTGAATACGGTATTCAAGCCGTTCCTTTACCAGCAAGATCCGGCAGCGGCTTGCAATCGTATGAAAAACTCTGATCATCGACGAGATGCCAGTGGAAAACGTTGAACTTGTTCATCTCCAATCCATCCAGAACTTCTTTGATGACACTTACGGGTTGGAAGTGGCGAGCTGTGTCCATCAAAAATCCTCGATGATTGAATCGGGGAAAGTCTTGAACAGCCATTCCGTTGATTTCGTATTTTTCTACTGCGCCGTTTTTCGTCATGATTGGGGTCGTGGCTTGGTAAAGGGTTTGAAGACCTCGGAGGATTCCCCAAACCGTGTCGCTGTAAATCGTCGCTCCTTCGCCGTCGAGATGGAGATCGTAATGCTCCTGGATCGAAGACATCGGCCATTTTTCGCAGGTTCCGGGCATGATCAATGTGACTGTATTGACAGTTGGATGGCTGTTTGAGTTGAGACTTCGGCGTTTTCGAACCGGATCGGATTCCTCGTGGGGTTGAATTCGAGCGGCAAGATCGTTAAAGTACTGAGTGTATCGCCAAGTTGCATTGTGGAGGACATCGCAATCCGGGCCATCATGAGTTATCTTAGAAAAAATAAGGGGTGGTGTCAGGAATCGACAAAAAACTCGCCAAATTTTGCGCACGCGACTACTTGACTATTGATTGGCCGGTTTGCCGACCCATGGCTTCTGATTGGTTGAAAATTACTACGCAAAATTTGTCGGTTCCTGCCACCTCCCCAAAAATTAAGGGAGTTTACCTCTTAAGGAAAGAATTATTAGTAGTAGGTGATAAATCATTAGGCTTACCGGACTAAATTTTGACTCATTTTTCTAGCTTGATTCAGCGGGCATGTGACACAAATAAAGAAAGCCTAGAACCAGGGCTTTCATTTGAGCACCATATCGAGGGGTCTGGGTCATACCCGCAAGGCAATTTATGGGACCTGAAGTTCAAAAATGGGCACTAGAATTGTTTAGAAGAATTTTTCGATGCCGGGCCGGCCTTCTCGGAAGTCGAGAGTCAGCTATTTAGAAAGCTCAGGCTCTGAGCTTTCAGTAGAGCCCAAGAAATCTTAGTGCATGGCGGTTTGTGGCCTTCAGCGAGCGCTTGACGTCTTGTTTTTGCGGTGAAATTTCACTGAAATTGATGACTTTCTCCCAAAAAATGGCCAAAATAGGAAGTAAATTGACAATTAAACTGATCGCTGATGGCCAAAAATTGGCATGCACTAAGATTTCTTGGGCTCTTCTGAAAGCTCAGAGCCTGAGCTTTCTAAATAACTGACTCACGACTTACGAGGAGGCCGGCCCGGCATCGAAAAAATCTTCTAAACAATTCTAGTGTCCATTTTGGAACTTCCGGTCCCATAAATTGCCTTGCGGGTATGACCCAGACCGCTCGATATGGTGCTCAAATGAAAGCCCTGGTTCTAGGCTTTCTTTATTTGTGTCACATGACCACTGAATCAAGCTAGAAAAATGAGTCGAAATTCAGTCCGGTAAGCCTATAAATCATAGTACCTGTGGAATAAATTTGATACTCGCAGTATCAATCGTATAGACATCACTTCTCGTATCCAAAAACTGTGGCTTCGGCCAAATCGTTCCCGTGTAAGTCGGACTTATCGCTGGATCACGTGCCAGCGCCACACCGTATAAAAAGCTAAAAAGTCTCATCGCAAGATTTTGATCTTGTGATGCGTTTTTTCAACGAGTGGGAGGGTTTTTAAGGAGAGTGCCGTATTTGCCAATTGCAGCAATAAATTTCCGATTTTTCATTTTTTCATTTTCGTTTGTAAATTTGCGACAGGATCATAAATCGCTCTTGAGGGCGGGAGCGAACCACTTACATGCAAAAAAAAACGCATTGGGAAATTCTAAGAGCGGTTTTTGAACCTCTTGTATCTAAATAAGCTCTTGTGGTTTGTAATTTTTTTGCTGGAAATGGTCAAAAATGAACGTGGTTCTTTTTGTTTTCGACCATGTTTAATTAGCGATTACGGGAAATGCTTGATAGAGCGGCTCTTGAAACGTTCCTTCTCCTATATGAAGTTTATTGTGACATAAAGGGTTTGTTTTTGATTCAAGCTGACGGCCACGCAATTTTAAAATGTGCTCCGTTATTGTCTTTCTAAACAGATTTGGAAAAAAACGGAGCGTATCCTGAGTTTTTGGATAAACTTTGCTCAAGCAACAAATGATGGTATTTTTCCTGCGTCAAATAAACATAGCGTAATATGAAGAAACATTTAGATATAAATTTACGTCAAAACCTAAAAGGGTTAGGGTTAGAGATAGGGTTCAAAGTAAGCGATTTTGATGAAAAATTTTGTGAAAAAAATTTTACAAATTTTAAATTTCGGCTTCGATAGAAAGTAGATAAAGGTCAAAAGTTTTCATTTTCGAAGTAAAATAAGGGTGTCACTATGTTAAATTTCGGAAAAAAAAGCTGTACCAAAATGGCGATTCTTTATATCTACCACCTAAAGGAATCTATCTTTTTCATACGTTTTCAAACCAAAAATTACACCATCTTCGAAAATGATAACCTTGAATACTTGGCAAATCGGTTGGACACCTGTTGCTTATCATTTTTCAAAAAAATTTTACACAACCTCTAAACTGATGAATGAACCTCATTAGAACACTGATGACTTCTAGTCACATGACTACTCCAAATATTCAAAATTTAGACTTTAGACTAGCTCATCTCATGTATAATCAATTTTTATCTTTTGAGAGCATCTCCATGCCGTAAAGAATTCGACATGGCTCCGGAGGTTACATATCCGCATTTATTAATTTTGCAACAAGCTTGGTCGTGTTTTTCTTACGTTTATCGTGATCATAGACCATTTAGAGGTCTTTTTTTCGGTGTTGAATAGTGGGGCATTCTCGGCTCGAAATTCAAGAGCTGTAAATTTAAACTTTGGACTCACGTGTTTTTTTTCAACAATTCAAGTATCCTAGATTGACGAACTTAGAGATAGCAATTTAGTTGAACGAGTTTTTCTGACCAACGCGCTCTTCAAAAGATACATATTATTTAGCTCATTATATTTTCTAATGAGTCTTTTCTTGATCATGCTTTTTTATTTTAGATAAAATTTTTTTATAAAAATAATTATTTTATTTTAAATATTTAATTATCAAAAAATATTTTTTTAAATAATTAGAAATTTTATCATCTTATTGAATAAAAAATAAATAATTCAAAAAATAATATTTTTAAATAAATTTTTTTCAGAAAATGAAATTTGATTTTTTGACGAAAATTGAAATTTTGTTCGTATTTTGATAATTGCTCTGTAAAGAGGGAGAAAAAGAAACGTGTGCCTCTAATAAGCGTTCCACTTTAGCAAACTTCAAAGATGGCGAATGTCTCAAAAACACGCTCAGAAGAATGCTCTACGGGTCGAATAATAGTCAGATTAAAGTGCCGCACAAATAGCGCTCTGCACATTTTGGGGGCTCTAGAAAATTGACAGGGATCAGGTGAATTACTAGCATCAGCATTTTTGTTCATAAATTTGAGCCTTAACCGGGAAGAAGCTTTCTGCATTTTACGGTGATTTTCTATGTGCAAGTTTGGCTCAAGAAAACAGTTATTTTGCGAATTAAAAAATGTCAAATAATACAAAAATGACTGTTTTATATATCAAAATTTTAGATTCTCCTGTTATTGGAGAAAAATCGCGTCTTAAAATATTTCGAAAAGTAAATTATGTTCGCAGCCTTATAGTAAAATACTTTAGGAAGTATACAATTTCCTCAAATATGGCAAAGAATGTCCAAAAATACATCATTTCGTCATGATATCCTTACAGCAATTCAAAATAAAGATGAAAATTAAGCCATAAGATAAATTATTCGCTTCGCTTTCGCTTTCAAATTTCGAAAAATTTCGTTTTCTTTTGCTTTTCATTTTACGCCAAAATCCAGACTCCTGCCCAAACGACTTATTTTTGAAGAATGATCTCACTAAAAGGTCAAAAACTTGAGTATTTTTCTAACATCTTTTCCGACAGAAAGGGAAAAGCTCTGATTTTTATTCATGAATCGGAAGTTGATCATGCAAACGTGTTGTACAAATTCTATTTATTAGCGAGCATAAACTCTAATCCAGCGCTGAGGTGTACTAAACTACCTGCCCTTATTTAGGCTCAAAACAGTGGAGCGCAAAGTTCGCTCCCCGTGTCTTTTTAGCCTATGCACGATAACTGCAACGCGTTACGTATAAGCTGATTTTCCTGAGCCCGTACCTTCATAACATACAAAAAAGATAACCGAGTTTACGAGTTATCGAAGTTTTAGACTTTCTTAATTTACAAAATATATCCGTAGAGTTAATCTCGATTTTAGGGACAAAAACGTGCAGAATCAAATGAAGGCTCTTTCTCATCTTATTTTTAAACATATCAATTTTTTGAGCTAAAAAATATCTTCAAAACTATTCCGTGTAATTTGTTTTTTTTAACCGTTTCTTCCGTTTTCCGTTAATTTTATCAATATCCGAAAACCGTCATTAATAATTTTGAATCATCACGGGATCAGTTAGTGATAACAGATTATGATTCATTACTGGAAAATTTTAACGGTAATGAAATTTTTTATCGTGAAGATGACATTTTACTTGAAAACGCGAAAAAAACAGATAAACTTTAGTTATGTGATAATTTTCTGCCAGTTTTGATCTTGACATGGATAAGTAGCTGGTAATCGAGCGGTCCTGATGATCTTTTTTGGAATCAAGATTTGTTAATCGCAACACTTCACTTTTCTATGTGTCTATTTCTTCGAATGATGAATTTAGTAAATATATGGTAGATTAAGAACTGCGTCCAGCTGATCAGCAACCTGGATGCGGCTTGTTCTGAAAGCTTTTAATTCTGAATACATGACATTTTATCCGATAGATTCTATCAAGAGATGCTCTGTCTTCTTCGAAAATTGATTGATCAGCAGCGGAAACAAGGATACTTCAGATTTCTCATAAAACGTATCATTTTTTTTTGTAATTTAACTCGCTCTTTTTTCAGAATCTTACATAAGAAAGTGGCTATCTTATGCATGCCTCATAGGGTTGGCCAAAAAAATCGAAGGTCGTGCGACCAACACAAGTCACCCCGCATTCGAAGCGCCTTTTCTTAGGGATCATTTTGATGTATAAATGAAATCGGTCGCGCAACGGGAAGGCATCGAAAAAAATGTTTTTTTAAAAATTTCGATTTTTTCGATTTTGAACAATATAACCATTATAAAATGAGTCATATCTTTTGTTGAGTCATGATCCCACATGGTTTGGAGAGTTGCGCAAAATTTAAATTTCAATCTGCTTTAAAACAAAACTTAATACATGCTTTTACGTTTTTGAAGAATGCAAATGGTTTTTTCGTATAAAATGACTATTTCTGATTTCATCTGTACAGTAACAATAATAAATACTGCTATTTATCTTAATCAGTATGCAAATTATAGTATATATATCGTGTTTATTGCTTAACTTTGCTTTTGAAAGCTTCTTTGACGATAAAAGAGCAATTAAAATGGTTCTTATATATACTTGATTGAAAGAACAGACGCTCATTAACATTTCTAGAATAAGAATGATGACGTCATAATGACTCAGCAAAAGTTATGAGTCATTTTTTGACATTGATTTTCATAAAAATCGAAAAAATCGAAATTTTCAAAAAAACATTTTTTTCGATGCCTTCCCGTTGCGCGACCGATTTCATTTATACATCAAAATGATCCCCTAGAAAAGGCGCTTCGAATGCGGGGTGACTTGTGTTGGTCGCACGACCTTCGATTTTTTTGGCCAACCCTATTGCCTCATCAAGATTCGCCGCTCAAGACGATTGTTCTTACGGAAAATCAAGTCTTCCAAATATGATCATCCCGGATGATTCATCCGTTTGACAGAAAATTTAATAAAAGATAATCAATTTGTCTGCCTTTGAAGATAAAAAGATATATTAGGCTCAAATTCTGAGCCTCAGAAAGCACATTATATTGCCAATGGACAATTTGTAGTAAAGGGTCTTTATTCGAGCTGCCTCTATCCGAAATCAAAACTCAAGGCAAAAACCAGGGAGTTTTCCTTCAGAAACTTTTGACCTCATTGCATGTAAGTATGTTCTTCACATTATCTATGTCAGAGGTAAAAGTTCAGTCGCAGGTCATTTCGGGCGCCTAAGCTTCTCAATAGACGCCGTGCACGATTTCTCGCGGTAGATTGCTCGTTGGCGCCAAGTCACGCGCGCGACGCACCGCTCGACCTCTTTATTAAAAAGCGCGTATCTGGTCAATTCGTCAGTGCTGAAAATAGCTTTCCGTTTTTACATATTTTTTTTAAAAAAGATAATTTTTGAAAAATAAAATTAAACCGCGATGAAACTCTTTGGAACATATCTCCTCGCCAGCGTCGCTGCTAGAAGAAATAAGAATAAGAATAAAGGTAAATTAAGATTCAAGAGAGCATAGAATTAAGGGTATCTCATCGTTTATTCTATTTTATGTTTTTTTTTTCATTTTCTTAAAATATTTTCTCGAAAAAAATTATTTTTAGCTTTTTGATTGGCCAAATCATTTCTACCTTGTACTACCCTTAATTTAATCATCTTATGTCCCCTTAAAAATATTTTTATCAAAGGTGAAGGTCGACTCTATGCCGATTTGGGCAGCTTCCTCTCCGCCGCCCCGCCATCCTGGTGGAACGAAAGCCAAACCGTTGGCTTCCTCAAAAACGCGCGAACTGATGGAAAAGCTGTCTTTTCCGATGAAGTCTGGGCAGGTGCTCGTCGAGGTGCTGGAGAGCGAATGGGAAACCAATACACTGCCATTGTCAACAGAGCCTTGTAAGTCCTATATTCAAAGTTCGTTTTATAACGAAAAATTTTAAGGAGAACCTATGCTAAATGCAAAGACATCACTCTCCCTGAAGACACTTTCGAGTCACGACGAAGACGATCCACCGAGGAGGGCGGCCGAAAGAAAAAGAAGAACCGAGGCGGCAAAAAGAACAAGAAGAACAAGGAGTCTGGCCGAGGCATCCCAGCCACCACTCCAGACAAACTCCACTGGAACATGACCTGGAGAGTCGCCATGGTCGTCCGAGAGACAATGATGTCCGACGTCAATTGCATCACATCTGCTTACAGGTAAGCTATTTTGGCATTTTTCGACATCTTTTACCTTCTTTCAAGACTCTTCCAGCGATTGGACCGATACAACTTGAACGCGAACTACCAGTACTGCACCAACGTCAACGACAGTGCCCCTTACTGCCAGTGGCTCCAAAAGGATGAAGAAGGACAGACGATCTCGTACAAGACTGCCCGAAAGCAGGGCACTTACACAAAGGAATGGGTCGATTATTTTTCTTTTTTCTCCTTGATTTCAGCGTAAGAAAGACAATTCTGACCCTTGAAAAAGTTCGCTAAAGGTGGCGCGATCAGCGTCTACTCTCCAGTTTGCGAAGTGATGGACAAACCCGCCAACGCCAACTACGATGGAGACATCTACTGCCCAGAAGGATACGCCATCAAAATCGACCGAGCAAAATATGGACGAAGCACCAGAGGATTCTGCCGAGGAGATGCTGATTCCAACATCAACGTAATTTTCAAACACAGATTCACTCATGTTTACCAACCAATTTAGCTTTGCAAGGGTAAAACCGGCAGTACTGTTGTCGTCACTGACATCATCGCCGACAAATGCGACGGCCTGACAAACTGCGTCATCGAAGCCTCCAACGAGTTCCTCAACGGCGGCGAAGATCCCTGCCCCGGAGTCGAGAAATTGGCCGAAGTCTACCACACCTGCGAAAAGATCGAAGAGTAATTATTTTTTCAACCTTCTTTGCCAAAGCTTTTAATTTCGCCAAATCTTCTTTTACCGATTTTTGCCCGGCAAATCACGGGGAAATGAGACTCACTCAAAAAATTTGAGTCATCTACCGGGCAACAAATTGGTTAAAGGAAATAACATGCTTCATCTTTCATAAGTGACTGTACATAAAAATATCAATAAATTTTCTACAAAAAATTTTTTTCAAGAATTTATTGAATCGATTCTCTTGATTCTGGCAGCAGGGTTTTTGAAGAAAGCGATCTTGGTATGGATAAAAACAAATAAGGGTCTCACTCTATTATCAAATTTTTTATCCATTTTCTTGGTTAGTTCGTGGACAGCTTCAATGACCAAGAAAAGAGAAAAACGCCGAAAATAATCGCAACTAAGATTTTTTCGACACGAAAAGAAAACTAAACTGACCAAATAATACATCGATTTCTAGGTGAATTGATCCGAGACCGCCGGGCATTGGTGGAGCTAGAAATGACATTTATTCCAAAAGTAAGTTTTGAAGCTGAACTTCTCTTTGATGCTCTGTAATCTTCCGCGAGTTTTTGAGGCATTCTTTTTGCTCGATTCAAGTTGTTATTCATTGTCGAACCTTCTCTGCTCTTTTCTTTGCGATAACTTGATTTAGGGCTTTGATTGAGTTGCAGTCGACTCAATTAAAATGTTCAGAGTTAGAGTTTTATTTCGACAGTTTTTTCAGAAAAAGCTTTTTTGGAAAAATTTTCAAAAACACAAAATTCTTCGATAATTCAATAATTGACTCATTATTTTCTCATTCTCAGGGTATTTAGCTAATCCTATAGCTTGTAAAGAATTAGGAGCTAGAGCCAGGAAAATCTTCTTACTCATTTTTCTAGCTCCTTCTTTCCATAATTACCAGAGGCGGGCCAGGTCAGAAAAGTTATAACAATTAATTAATTTGGAAAAAAAAAATGGTGGCGCCATTTGAAAAAAAGCTGCCCTCTGGCGCGTGTTCTCGTGTTCGATCAAATTCAATTATCACGTGATTGAAGCTGATAATTTTTAATAGAAGCAAAGAAAAAAAAGAGATTCTTTTTTACTCAATGGAAATCATGCACAGTAGAAAAGAGGAAGAAGGAGGAAAGAAAATTAACTTTGGAATTGACTCGATTCTCAAAAGCCAAAAGGTAGGGCGAAAAATGATATCAAGGAAGAGAAAATTTCGGTCTAGAAAAACGAAGAGTCCGATTCTTCGACAGAAGAGGGGCACGGTCACGAGCCTCAGGGCATGCCACAGCATATGAATCCACTGCGACTTCAAGCACTGGCAGCTCAGCTGAGCAGTTTGAACAATCATCAATCCAGGTAGGAAAGGGCTAATGAACGATTTTGAAGAAGACTTTCGCTTGTTTGATTTTTCGTTGAGATACCCTTATTTTTCAGTGAAATGGCCGCCTGGTATCATCAAAATCTAATGCAGAACATCGCTCAGAACAATCAGTTAATGAGTCTGCAGCTGAATCGTCTGGCCACTCATCCTTTTCAAATCGGGCAATATCAGGGTAAGTAAAGAGACATGGGCTCTTTGTGCTAATTGAGCAAGTTTTACAAGCCTGACGAGGCTCATCACAGTCCACTTAGTTAAATAATCGCGCTAATGAACATTCGACAGTAGAACTTGCCTTCTCCTTGCTTTCGTTAAGGGAGTATCCCGGATACTGTATCCGCCTTATTTTGACAAAAAGCAGGTTTCATAATGTCCCTTCTTCAAATACAGTATTATCAACACGCTGGGAGGAATGAACTAGTAATCGCCTGTAATAGAACAAAGCCAGCGTGTGCCCAAGCCATAAATCGCCCCCGGGCACAGTAGGAAAGCGTCATAAAACACCGAACAAAAACCACAAATTAGCAGTTTTAATAACTCAAAAATATCAAGATCGACGTTCCGCTTAAAATCTGCCTTTTTGGCGATCAAAGAGGGGGCCGCCAATTTATTATCGAAAAGGCGCGGGAGGGGCGCTCGTAAATTATCACGTGATATATAGAATATTGGAAGGGATCATATGGTGATTTCATATTGTTAGCAAAATTTAATGGGTAAGATCCAAAGCTCCGCAAGCCTGTGCAAAAAACCTGAGTCAGGGTCCACAATGGAGTATTTTTAAGAACCCCCCCCCCTTAAATTTTTTGACTGAATGCTCAAATCTGATTGGTTGTAAATTTGACCAAAATTTTGATCCAAATTGCCTTTACTTTGGGCAGAACCAAAATATGGGAGTCATTTTAAAGATCGGGGTTTTGATTGGTCCGTAGGCCAAATACAGCAATCTCATTGGCAATCTAAAAATGCACTTCCATGAATTTGTTTGATTCATGTTTTTTTTGTCTTTTCCGGCAACTACCTTAAAAAGTCCAGCTCAAGATGGCGAGCTCCCTAATTTAAGGGTGTCCAAAGCAATTTGAAAAATAATCAAGAGTGATAGATCAAGACGTTATTGGAATTAATATGTTATCGATGCGGATTGATTATAAATTAATTTTAATCAAGCGTGTATCAACCTTTTTGGACAAGTTAATCAACACTCGTAAATTCGCCTGTAATTGGGCGCAAGCAATCATCGCGAATAAACCTTCAATTTACAGAATTAACACTTGATTAATTGAGCCCCTCCCCGCTGAAAAAAGGACGAGTTAATCAATAAACACAATTTTATCTCTATTTTTCAGGGCTTTTGCAACAAACTGGAGGAAAGTCTAGACGACCACGAACAGCTTTCAGCTCGCAGCAATTATTGGAACTAGAGAGGCAATTCAAGATGAACAAGTATCTTTCAAGGCCAAAACGATTTGAAGTAGCGACGATGCTTTGCTTGACTGAAACACAGGTTGAAATCAACAAGGAGAACCAAAATTCTCGATCGTTTTTTTAGGTTAAAATTTGGTTTCAAAATCGAAGGATGAAATGGAAGAGGAATAATTCGAAAGAAAACGGGGAAGGAGAAGAAGGATCTTCGGAAATTCAAGAAGGGGAGCATAAAGAAGATAGTGATACGAGTGAAAATGAAAGTGAAGGACTGAAAATTGCTGGTGAAACGATGGAGAGCTAGAGTTTCTTCGCTTGTCGGCTAGATATTGTACAAACATTATTGACTGTTTATATAATCGAAGATATTATCAATATGATTTTGAAGTTTTATTTTCCGCGAAGTTAACGGAAAAGTGACCTTTTCGCGCAGCACAGTGCAAATATCATTTGTTACATCGAAGAGAGGTTTTTTCCTTCAGAGAGATTCCAGAGATGAGAAAATTGCTCATTTTATTTTGCCATTTAGCAATTGCTTTTCGCCCAAAACAAGTCAACGAAACTTGCCCGTAAATATTAATAATAGAGTTCACTCTTTTTTAAATTAATAAGTGACGCTGATCTTGGTGAAATTTGTGATGGACATTGTTTCTCAACATTTCTGAGCTGCAAGGACGATTGTGAGTCCGGCTCTTGCGAAAGAGAATGCCTCTTTGATTATACAGGTTCGCTTACGATTGCGATAAAATTCCGTTCAATTTATCTCCCAGACTGCTATTCGAACTGTCCATGCTACCAGAACTGTGAGAATGGATGCGTTGAGTGCATGAATCCAATCTGTTCATGTGTATCACCCGAAAAAGACAATGCTTTTTATCAACACTGCATTGATGAGAGTCAGAAAAACTTCGGAAAATGTGTGAAAGCATGCGTTGCTCAAGAGATTTGCTACGATGCTTGTTATTCTGACTTCATTGTCTCGTCGAGAAAATGCCCATGTAATGCAGGGTGTGAGCTTGGTTGCCCCTGCGAGTCAGGTTATGATTGTCAACCTTTTATAATGGCCCTTTGTCAAAGCTCTGAACCACCAAAAATTGATTTCGGTTACGTTATATCAGCTGATGGAAATTTCAAGGATTTGTTTCTTGATTAATTAATTGATTCATTCACGGAAAATAGATCTTTAAGTTAAACAGAAAAAAGGAAAATAGGTTTTATACAAGTCAACAAGGATCGTTCATTGAAAGATCTGGACATGCCGTATTGAATGGAGAAATGTTCATATTTGGTGGTCTTCAAAATCCGAAAAAAGTAATTGAAAAAAATTTTATTTACTTAAAATATTGTTAATCTTAGATTGGTAAAATTGATGAATGCAATTTTGTTGACACTGGGATGAAGCTTATCAATGACTTTTTGTCTAACTCTGGAGCACTTGTGACCGTGCATGAAATTCACGATGAAACAATTTTGTGCCGAGGCGAAATTGAATGCGAGGGATTTGACGGAGTATCGTCGAAGCCAATAGCATCAACGAAAGAGAAACATTTCTTTAGTTGTATGGCACTTTATGATTCACAGCCCATAATCATCGCTGGAATCGCTTCGAGTTCGGTCGAAGCTCTTGCTGTAACGTAATGAAACAAAAAAATATTTGATGATAAATAACAATGTTAAGGGGCTGGCAGACGGAAACCAAGCATCCCTCTGGGACTATTCGAGGCACAACTTGCGTTTCTCTTGATCATGGAGTTCTCGTTATTGGAGGTTATGTAGATTCGCACCAAACCAAAGCATATTCTTACACTGATTCTAAGTGGTCCATGATTGGTGAAATGAAACAGGTAGAATGGAATTTCATCGTCAATAGAATTTATCTTTGAAGAAATTTTATGGAGGATCAATGATATTATTTGACGATTTTTTTCTGGTATTTGCTGGAATAGGTGGCGGGTAAGGAACAGGAACAATCAAAAAATATTAATTATTGAGGTCATTTGCCGTTGAACGCGCAGAATGGAATGGTGAAAAAATAACTTCTTCTGAGGTTTTATTCCATCATGAAAATGGATGCTACAGGCCGATAGTCTTCGAGACGTATCCTGACCATTGTGAAAATTTCTGTTCCGATGATTTCTGCTATGTTTAGCGAGAGAATGATGAGCAATAAAAAAGTGAAATCATGGAAGAAAATATCAAGATTCGATTCTCAATATTTTCCACTGACCGTATCATCATGTGCCTAAATGTCAAAGTAAATATACGTATTTCTCTCCCCAAGAGGTGACCAAACAAAACGGTGTTCATGTCGTGCAAATATTCAACAATCAGAAAGCCACAAGTGAATGTCAATCTCACGCGTCCGCTCACGTCATTTCATTTCGGTAAAAAGAAATTTATACAGCCCCAGCAGCGACAAAATCGTAAAAATAACCTCTTTCGAAAATGGCGTAAAATATCACAAAAAATGGAAAAATATTTTTTTCAAAACAATTTTTAGCAAGATTTTTTTTTGAAAATTCACAAAATCAAAAAAAAAAGCGAATAAATATTTTTGACTTTATATTTTTCTTTATATAAAGGAAATAATAATATTTACAGAAATAAACAGGAAAAAATACTCTTATTCTAAACAGGCTTCCAAAACCGGCTCAAATTGTAAACTTCTTGAGCTCGCATTCGTTTTTTGCTGTTTTGGCTCGATCAATTCTAGATCTTCAAGATTCAGCCTCGACAAGAACTTCGAGGAGGAGGTGGAGGAGGATGAACACGTGACGTCGGAATTGCACTGGCGAAGGGGGCGAGCGTAGATGGCTTTGGAACGGGAAAGTTTTCGGTGAGTTCGGACGATTTTTCGACCTCGGGGCGCTTCGTCGGAGAGTGTCAGGTGGGAGAGATCGAGGTTGCCCAAATCTGAAAAAGGGGAGTTATGGTTTTGGCTCAAAAAAGGTTATGATTCATTTTCATTGTTTCTTATTAAGAATAATTCAATCGTATTTTAAGGGTATCATTCTGTTAAAAAAATTTTCTTAAACTTGGAAATTTCGAGTCGAAACATAAATATTTTTAAGTACAAAATTTTAAAAATTCTTTTTTTTTTCTTTTAAAAATAAGCCTATATTTACCTGATATATCCGAGCTCGTTAAATCCGAACTTGTAGAAGACGCGTCATCGGACTTGACTGACTGGCTGATGCTCATTGCCGCTCGAATTTCATGAAACATAAATTCCTTCTTTTTTCTTTTGTTGCTTTGAGGTCTTGTCGCTTCGATTTGCTGGTTTTTCTTCGATTTCAGAACTCGGCAGCGCCGCCAGAATTCCTTGCTCCGAGGGGTTTTCTGATAGTATGATTCCTTTCTGACAGCGATTTTTGATTCAAATATCTTCGTTTTTGTCGACCTGAAAAATTATTAAGGGCTTCATCAATGAAAATAATAACTTAAAAAGTAATATTAAATATCCTTTAATTTATTAAAATAATTCGTTAAAAATTATTATAATTATTATTATTATAATTAAAAATTATAAGGTTTCATCAAAAATATGTAATTTAAGGGTGTCACTTGGTAAAATTTGAGAAAAGAAGCATTTTTCTTACTTTTTGCTCTTGATATTTTTTCTTGATTTGTTACCTTAAATTTTTTATTTTTTGATAATCTGCTTATTTTTTGTCTTCTTTTTAGTTTTCTTTTGAGATAATTGAAAATTCGAAATCTCTGTTAAAAAATTCTTGCTTTTTTATTGATTGAAAATTTTCGTGCACGGAAAAATGATAATTTTCTCCTAGTCCGTTTAGTTTTTTTTTTCTTTCTTCGTGTAACTCGGATGAGCTCGGTGGCGACGCCTTGACGTCACGTGACGACACTTCAAATTCGATCGAGGCTTCTTGTGACGTCACAGCGCTCATCGACCGAAACAGACCCCCACTGACTTACACAATCAGTATCAGCTTTATCAAGAGATTCGATGGCTTGATTCACTCTCCTCATTCTGAAGCAGAAAAATTAAGGGTATCTCCACGAAAACAAAAAATATTTAATTCGCTTAAAATTCGAGATGAGAGCTTCTTTCTTAGGTCCCAAAAGAAATTAAGCGGGCAAATATTTCTTGGATGCCCTTAAAAATTGAACGACAAATCGTTAATTACAGTCATCAGTAACAGTTAGATAAGTTATCTAAGATAACGTAAGCATATTTGAGAATCGACCAAATCAATACTGCGATAAAAAGACAGCTTTCGACGTCACAAACTTAAGGAGGTCTCTCCGCACATTTGGTAAAAGCGTTTGCCAATGCATTTATCATTTTGTCACTCAGATTGCGTCACTCTGACCCATTGAAAATGCCCGTGAAAATGCACCCTGATCATAAAACAACGAAAATTATCGCCGAACATAAATCATCATAACCCGACAGTCAAATAAAATGAAACTTGAAAATTCTTCCGGCATTAGTACTTTTGAAAGCAAGATTTATCTGACTGCCCTTTCAAACAAGAATTCAAATTAAAAGAAAAAATCATGGAAATGGTCCTCTAAAAACGTCAAATTTATGATTTCGCTTCCTACGAAAATGAATCAGAAATAATATGACGCTTTTTACGTTAATTTCCTACGAAAACGCGAGTCTTTGGTATGAATTAATATTTTTTCCATTGAAGATTTAAAATAAATTTGAAATTTTCCGCTGAGACAGAATGTGTTAATATCGAATTTTGCGAATCGCATAAAATCGTTCATTTCTGATCCAATATTTGCGCTGGTAAAGGACATGTTTAAAAACTCTTCCATGACAATTGAATTTTTCTCGTTCTTGAGAGAAAATGAAGCTGTTTTCATTCTTGTTCTTTTCTGGTCTGAGGGCGAGTCTTGTGCCCAAAAATGACACAACAGAAGTTTGCTACGAAGGACTCGGTTGCTTTGACAATGAGTTCCCCTGGGACTGTCTTTATGCGCAGGAATGGGACTGACAATAAGGGCATCAATGAGATAAAATAAAGATACTACCAAATCATTTTTCGAAAAGCTGCGAGTAAAATTTTATCATTAAAAAGGGATGGTGTCTGGAACCGACAAAAAAATTCGACAAATTTTGCGTAGACGGCTACTCGGCTGCTGATTGGCCGGTTTGCTGAATCTAGGCTTCTGATTGGTTGAAAATTTCAACGCAAAATTTGTCGAAATTTTTTTGTCGATTCCAGACACTTCCCCTTAAAAAAGTGGCAATAATCAAATTTTCAAAAAAAAAGGTTATCAAGGTGACACCCTTATTTCGAGTTTTTTTTATATATTATCCTCTTAAAATTAAAGCCTAAGGCTATAAGCTATGCATTTTAACCTATTATTTAAAGGTTTTGATTTTAAGAAGATAATATGAAATAAAAAAATCGAAATAAGGGTGTCACCTTGATAACTAATTTTTTGAAAATTTGAATTTAATCCTTATTTTTCTGATACTTATCAAAAACCGTCAGAAAACTGAGCGGGTAACGGGAAATGAAGTTTGTCATTGACGTAAATTTACGCTCCATCCTTCGAATAACGCATGTTTTCAAAATAAACGGCCCTGTTCCCTTACGAAAAAGCGCTTGCCAGGAGACCCAGCAACGATGATGTTTTCCTACCGACTTTATACAGAAGTTGACAATTATGACGAACTAGATTATTTTAATCCGGTGAGTGGAAAATCGAGCGCCGAAAGGACTAAAATAGAAAAAGTCGAATACGTCAACGATTTAATTATTTCTCCGCCTCACTGAGCAAAAAGCGATATTGCGATTGATACACCATGTGGAAAATTGAATACCCTCTTTTCACATGTACCACATGACTTGATAAAACTCGTGTATCGCATACGTAGTTCTTTGATGAGACATCTTGAGATTTCCACATGATTTGCTACTTGAATCTCAAACGCAAAAAAATTATCAAAAATTGCGAAATTTGCTAATAATGCGAAATTGCGAGATTTGAAAAAAACTGCGAAATTATACAAAATTGCGAAACTTGTCAAATTTGCAAAAAAAAGGCAAAATCTCCAAAAAATGCGAAATTTCCAAAAAATGCGAAATTTCCAAAAAATGCCGAATTTCCAAAAAATGCGAAATTTCTAAAAAATGCGAAATTTCCAAAAATGCGAAATTTCCAAAAAATGCAAAATTTTCCAAAATTTTCGTAGAGCTTTGGTAGCTTGTGAGCTTCTAGTACTGACAAAAAAAAAATAATTAAATTATAAATTTATTCATCCGAATTCATTTACATCTGTAGTCGCCAAATGTCGACTGGACGGCGAAATCAAAGATCTTGCTCGCGACGCATGGCTGGCATGATTCGGGCACAACTGGCTGGCTTAGAGACACAGTGATGAAAGCAACGCAGCTTGATGATTACCATGTTGTCATACTTGACTGGGAAGGAGAAGCATCTTCGATCAATTACGTCGAATCGGCGCAGAATGCACGGGTCGTCGCTGCTGCTGGAGCGGTTCTGCTCTCAGACGCTTTCAACAATGGTACGGTAGACAAATAATTTAAAAGATTTATTAAGATTTTTGAACGAATAAAAAATTGGGATGAAATATGGGGTGGCCTCGGGAACCGACAAAAAATTTCGACAAATCTTGCGTGGGCGTCTACTCGGCTTCTGACTGGCCGGTGGGCCAAATCCAGGCTTCTGATTGGCTAAAAATTTCCATGCAAAATTTATCGAAATTTTTTGTCGGTTCAAGACAACTCCTCTCGAAAATCGGGGTTGTTCTAGATTTAGATATCAAGAAGCATATTTAATATTAAATTACTTTATATAAGATATTAATTCTTTGATTAAAATTGATAAAACGTAATTGTTTTCAATCTCTTCGATCTTCATTTGGAGGCGCAAATTTACCAATTCTATCCATTAAATTTTCAAATTTTTATAATTCAAGGAATTCTTGCTGAAAACATCCACATAACCGGCCACAGCCTTGGCGGTCAATTAATGGCATTCCTCGCCCAAAGATTCCAGACAATCACTGGTGGCGCCAAAATCGGCCGATTCACTCCCTTGACGCTGCCGGCCCCTTATTCGATGAATGCTCCGCTGAAGCTCGAGTTGACGAAAGCGACGCTGATTATGTCGATTTTATTCATACCGATTCTGGACGGCTCCCAGCGCTTTCGATGGAAGAAGCGGTTGCTTACGCGGGTAATCAAAATTACCAATTGATTATCATTTTTCACAAAGCGTTTTTGAAGATTTTTACGTGAATGATGGGCGCCATCAGCCTGGATGCCCGACTCCGTCCTTGGATACAAATTGTGAGCATCAGCGAGCAGGAATCGTTTATTTTTTCCAAAAATGTTTTATGTAAAAAATGTTTGGAAAAAATCTAATAAGTTCAAATTTGGGTGAGTTCTTTCGACATTTCCTGCTACGCCTGCCCTTGTGAAACCTTCCAAAATCTAGAAAACGGCCTCTGCTCCAGTAAGCGAACAACAATTACAGTAACCCGTCATTTTTTTCATTCTAGACAACTGTCGGTTTAACGCGATCGGATTTTACTCCCAAAAACCAGCTCAGAAGACCACTTATTTCATCGAAACAACCGATAGAAAACCATTTTGCGTTCAATAAAATCTCTGAAATCAAGGAAGAAAATTTCAGAAAAAAATATTTATTCACAATTTATATTTTGTTCAACAAAGTTGGCTTCTCTGCGCCCTAGCAGCTGCGAGCCGCGATTCTAGATCTTTTGCCCGTGCGCTTTTACAGTAAGTCCTTTTTACAGAACTGTTTCTTGTCGAATTCGCGAAATCGCGTTCTTGTTTTTTCGCCTTTTGATAGATTGCAATTTTCTCCATCGTTTGTGCCAGAAGATCTTCTCGGTCGCTCTTGATTTTCCCGATTTCTTCGCGCTTTTCTTCCTCTTTTCTCTTTAATTCTTCGCGGAGAATCGAAAGTCTTTCCTGCAACTCAACGATGGACATTTCGTCGAGCAATCCATGACCAGCGCTTGAAATTAAATCAACTTGGAGCTTGTATTGGCGATCTTCGAGGGCGCGGCGCTGGAAATCCTTGATTTTCGATATCAATTGCTTCTTTGCTTCCATTTCCGCAGCTTCTCGTTGCGCTTTTTCGGCAAAAAGTTCTTCTCGGTGTTGACGGATTTCAGCTGCGATTTTGTGTTTTTCTTGCTCAAGGCGTTCTCTTATCTGATAAAGAGTAAGGGTTAGGGTTAGGGTTGGGCCTTACATTTGCCAGGTTCTTATTCGCTTCAATTATTTCTTGAATCCGCTGAGCAATAATTTTCCGTTCTTTCGCCGTTTTCGCTGACTAAATCGAACTTTCGTTTTCAACATTTTTTTCATGACAAACCTTTTCTTCGAGAAGCTCTTGCCATTCTCTTCTCAGATCATCTGCAAGATCGTGTTTTCGTTGAATTTCTTTCAGGTGATTCAGAACCGCCATTTCGCGCGAAAGTTTTGCATCGAGAATGTTTTCTTCGAGCCGATTTTCTTGTTCTTCTCGGTCTTTTTCGAGCATTTTTTCTTGCCATTCCGTGAAAGGTAAATCATCAGCCCCGCCTGAAAAAAATAAATAGTGAAATGAACGACAGGAATACCCTTAGAGGGGGCTTTTTTCTTACCCTGAAGAAGAATTTCTAGTTTTCGGAGATTTTCTGTCTCTTTTTTCGTGATAATTTCCCCCGCCCTGAGAATGCTAGCCGCATTCTCTTTATTCTTATTCTTCGGCTCTGGAAAATCGGGCGAAGGTTGCGCGAATTTTCGATTGAAATCCAATTTCCGCTGCTCTTCGACAAAAATCAACCGCATTCGCTCTTTTGTCTTGTCGCTCTTGTCGACATATGCGCAAGAAAAAGCATTGAGATCACTCTCTTTAGTTTTCTCCTGAATTCGGACGAGGCGTTCGTGCTCTTTTTCACGAACGAAACTCCCGCGAAGATTTTCGGGAGTTTCGTATGTTGTTGCTGGAATCGATGTTCGGAAAGTGCGGCTTTCGTAAACTTCTTCTTCCTTTTCCAGAGGGACAGATTTGTTCAAATTTCGGGAGAAGGGGACTGGCTTTGTCGGAGCTTTTTTAATGAAAGTTCCATTCGATTGTGACTAAAATATTGACTTGGTAAAATTTCGACTCGAATTTTTAATTAAAACGGAATGACATTTTATTCAATACCTTTTTGATAAGTCTTTGCTGAATCCCTTGATAAATTCTTCGACTGTTCTTGATCGGCTGAATCAATTTTTGTTCGACAAATTGCTTGTCCATTATTCTTATCCATCCATTCTTGAGTTTCTTCAAATAGCTTTCTTCAAGAAAAATGTCCAAAAAGGCAATGCCTTGCTCTTGCTTCAAAGTTCCGAGCCATTGAAAGATCAAATCTGCTACTTCCGCGTTGAAAATGCATAAATAGCCGATCACTTCTAGTTTTGTTCGATCTTTTTTGAAGAAATTCGCTTCCAAAGAGAACAGAAGCTCTTTTGAAAATGTTGAAAACGGCGAGAGAATTCCTTACCAGAGATTTTCCGAAGAATTGATTTGAACTGCGCCATTCCAGAGAAAATCTCAACTGCCAAGAACTCTTCTTCATCTGAAAATTGAGAAGCATTTATTTTTTCGCGTAAATAATTCTCTGGATCTACTTCAAGTTTGTAACCATCGCAAAGTTCTATGATAAAATCAAGAAGATCTCTAGAAGTTTTCATTTCGCGCTTGGATTTTCGAGAATGACGCATAGATTCAAAAGCAACTCAATTCGTTGCTAGGGGACAAATTTCTATCTGCATGGTTTTTCTTTTCAGACTTTTTCAATAATTTTTTTTAATTACAGTAAGATACTTGCTGCTCGTTTTGGTCGGTCTTCAAAAGGGTAAACTTTGGTCCGGAAAATGGAAGAAAAATTGATTTTCGTCCAATTTGATAAGTTTTCGCCTTTTCCTAAAGAAAATTTCCCGATGGCTGGAGTAAGGATTCTTCGATTTTTAAAATTCGGGAGTGAATGAAACAGAGAAAATATCGCTAGCGCAGTCTTTTTCGTATCCTCGGCTCCGCTAATTTCGCATCTTCGATCAGCATTTTGCAAACAGACTTAAAAATAAGAAGTTAGAAGCTAAACGAGGTGCTGACCTTGAAATTGGTGGAAGCGTTTTTGAGCTTTTGCTTGATTTGAATTGCCAGTTTTATGTCTTCTTCACTTTGCTGAATTGTCGATTTCAGTCTTGTCGTTTGAACCCGATGAGCAGTTAGAGCCCGCTCTAGTTCGCGGATTCTATGGATAGTGTCAAGGTCACATTCTTTTTCGGACTGCTGTTCGTCCAATTCGTCCTCCAAGGAGCGATATTTATTCACCAAGCCTTGGATGATTCTTCGTTTTTCGCTGTTTTCTTTTGACAGCATCTGAAATTCTCAATTTATATCAGTTTCCCTTGGTCATAGAGGGTACCTGAATAGTGCCATCAACGACCGTTTCCGTCTTAGGCAGCCTCATATCTTGATAAGTCCTGGCTAAGCACTGGTACTCTTGAAACTGATTTTTGAGACTCATCGCTTTTGTCAGAGAAACCCGAGCTTTCGGGTCAATTTTGAGCAGTTTCTTTGAAAGAACCGCGTTTTCTCGAACAACGACTCTAGAATTGAGGATTTTTGATGTTTAGAAACTTATTTTTGCTTACTGGTTAGTTCGTTCAAGCTGAAGTTTTGAAACTTTTCGAAATTTAACGACCAAATCACCAATTTTATTTCCAAGTTCTGCTTTCTTAAAGAACTCGTTAGCTAGTTTCACGCGTTTTGGCATACTTTTGCATGAAATCCGATGAGTTTATTTTTATCTGTATCATAAAGGGTGTCTCTGAAGAGAATTGTGTTGTCTTTCAGGAGTTTCTGCTGATCGAAGATTGCTGTTTGCAGCTTTTTTCGTTCCAAAGCTAGAACGGATTTCATTAAAAAAACAAATTAAAAAAATTACCCAAGGGATAAATATGATTTCTCGACTGCTTCAGTCTCATTGTTTCTTGCTTCATCCCGCCCTGAAATCAACAAGGAAAGAGACGACATCAAATCGAAACGACTCAAACCAGTTCAATTCCTTGATCCTTGTTTTCATCCTCTTGTCGTTGATTGAGCTTATTTTCCTCGCCTTCTCTTTTTTCCTCGATTTCTTCATGAGTATCGACGGCCGAGTCGATGAAGTCTTCTTTTTTGATGATTTGATTCGTCAGTAGGGTTTCTATTTCTTCTCGCTGCTCGAGAACTTCCTTGAGCTTCGATTTCGCATCCTAAGATTATGATTAAACGAAATTTTATAAGGGTATTCAACCTTTATCGTCAATTCTTCCTGTTCAAGAGTGTTCCGAAGCTCGAGTAGAATTGCTTCCCTATCAGCTATTTTCTGCCTTATCAAGGTTTTTATTTATAAAATCTTGAAATACGTGACAACTTTGAAACCATTTTTCCTGTACTGATCATGAGTCAACTTCGGTTCTTCCTCAAGAACCCGTTTCTTGTTCTTTTTCTTCGGCATCTCTTTTTTCCGGCAAGACTGAGGCACGTGCCGTAAAAAAATAAGGCTCTTTGTCTCTACGTACTTCAGTAGTGTGCATTTCACCCAACAATAAACAACTCAACAATTCCGCAAAGTCTGCCATTATGATAGACAATCTTTGGTGAAGGCCTTTTCTGTACTACCTCAAACCGGTTTCACTCCGGATTATTGATAAATAAGTTATTTAAAATAACTCAATAATCGGACTCTCATGCATTTTGTTCCGAATTCATATTTTATGAATCAGAATTCCACTTGTCTTTTTTGAAAAAAAAATTATAAAAGCAGCTTCGAAAGAATTTTATCGTTTGATTTTAGCACACTTAGAGAAGAACATTTTTCAGATGAGGTTATTTATGGTAATACGTCAGTTTATGATTAGGACAATCGATGACGTTTTTCGCCATAAAATGGGATTTGCTCCGAAATGATTGTGAATTGATAAAAATTTCAATTTTTTACGTATATATTTTCTCAAATTCCTGATATAATCGTGAATGTGCAGGTAATTATTTTCAGCAAGAAAAAGCAACATGAAAGCTGCTGTTGGTGATTAAAGATAATAACCTCTGCCGGATACATTGTCCATTTCTTTGGTGGCAATTTATCTCACTATAGTCCACGATTTATAGATCTGTCACAATTATAGAGATTTCAACCGTAAAGAAAACAAACCTCAAAACGACATTTTACGACTCCGATTTCATTTCCACGATCATAAATAAGCACAAAATATGCAAATTTTGTTCGTATTTTTGTCATAAGAGCGATGGAAGCGACGAGTCCTTGTAATGAAAAATACTGCGTAACTTGTGATCGGTTGAGAACAGAGGGAAGAAGAGTCGATGTCTGTGAGAGACTATTGGCTCAGAAAAATTGCTGCTCGATTTATTTGAATGGCAGAGGTAATGATTTAACCCTAGCCCGGCAAAACGCCATTTCGACTTTTTAGGAACTCTTTTTACAGCATCAATGATAAAATGCCATCTCCACGAAGCTATCGACGATAATGGCTCATTATCTCCGTCAGAATTCGATGAATTATACGAGGCAGCGAGTGCTTGCGATGAAAAATGTGTGATGATCGCAAACACTAAAATTCTTTCCTTTGGCGTTTTTATTTTGGTTTCACTGGGAATTTATATTGCCTGGCTATTTTGGAGAAAAATGCAAAAGAATCGTGGATCGATGATCGTAAGCAAAGCTTCTTTTAAAAGAGGCACAAGAAAATGGTCAAAATTTTATAGAAATTCGGAAAACAATTTTTCCGAAAAACGCAAACAGAAAAAAATTCTCTGAAATCTGATTGGCTCACGAGCTGAATTCGTATTTTTTATTGGATTTTAATTTCACCAAAATTTTCCTCAAAAATTCTCGAATTTTTTGTCGATTTTAGCCAAAAATGGAAATTTTTGACCATAAAAAGTATCTCAAATTATGAAACAAATGAAGCCTGACAACCTTATTTCCTGCACAAAATCTTTTTTGAGCTGTCTTATATAAACAACACCAAAGAGATATTCCAAAAATTGTCTATTGTAACACCTGCAAAAATACCCTCCTTCTGGCACAGGCCGAACTCACTAATCAAACAGATCAGCGCAAATATGCATGTTATTTCATAAATTTTCAATCTGAAAAAAAATCTCGACTGCAGAAAGCAAAAAAATTTATGTCATTTTTTATTGGAATCGAAGGGGGTGCGACCAAATCAAGTGGCGTTTTGGTGGATGGAAAGAATGGAGAGATATTAAAAGAGATAACTGGTGGTCCAGCAAATGTTCGGGTATGAAAAGAGGGTCAAAAAAAGGACCCTTGCTAGCAGGGTTCTAAATCTGAGCTGAAAATCAGAAGTCAAGTCGAGTCGAGTCGACTTTATCGACTTATTAGTCGAAAAGTCGACAAACTCGAGAAAAATAAAAATTTAGTCGAAATAGTCGAAAATAAGTCGTTATTTAGTCGGAAGTTGAAAGAGAAGTCGGTTACTTTCGACTTGATTTTCACCTTTTTCGACTAGATTTTCGACTTATTCGACTAGATTTTCAACTTTTTCGACTAAATTTTCAATTTTATCGACTAGATTTTCGACTTATTCGACTAGTTTTCGACTTTCTCTGCAATCTTGTTTTCGACTTTTTCGACTAGTCGACAATCTTGTTGAGTCAGAGGGTCAAGTCGAGTCGAGTCGAGTCGACTTATTTCCACAAGAAGTCAAGTCGAGTCGAGCTAATCTTTTCGACTAAGACTCGGCCCGACTTCGACTCTTGTCGAAACTCGACTAGTCGATTTAGAACCCTGCTAGCTAGCTGAGCTTTCTTCTCCGGTATTTTAGACTGAGGATTTATCAACAGTCATCTCTCGCTTGGAAAAAATAATGAAGTTTCTATACATGAGTTCTTCTTCCGACGTTCCCATCACCGGCAAGGTCTCCCTCGGCCTCACCCTCGCCGGAGCTTCTCAAGAAGACATTCAAGCAAAAATCGCAGTTGAAATCAAACAAAGAGTCAAGTTCATTGATCGAATAATAATCAACACAGATGCTGTTGCTCCTGTTTTTATGAGTCAAAAGAAAGGGACCGTTTTGATTTGCGGAACTGGCAGTAGTTGCTTGTTTGTGACGGAAGATGGGATACAGAAGAGAAGTGGAGGGCTTGGTCACATGTTAGGAATTGGTCAAAATGACGAGAAAGCGCTTTTTCGAAGCAAAAATGACCAAAAATAGGCGATGAAGGATCCGCTTTCTGGATAGCCACAAAAGCCATTAAGTCAGTTCTCGACAAAGCCGATGGAATCCCAAACAATGTCCTTGATACCACCCTTATCGAAGCCGAAATAAAAAGCTACTTCAAAATTGAAGACCTCAAAGAGCTAATAAAAATCTACCAGGAAAATTTTGATAAGGGAAAAATTGCTGGTTTCACCGCGAAATTGGCCGCAATTGCAAAAGAAAAAGACGATCCAGGTTTTTTCAACTCGAAAGAAAATTTCTGAAAGAAAAACTTTTAGTTGCAAAAATTTGCTTTGCATCAGCTGGAGGTGAGTTGGCAAAATTGGTCGTTTCGATGGAAGATACTCTTGAAATCGGAGAAGAAGAACCACCGGAGATTCTGTGCCAGGGCTCAGTTTGGAATTCATGGGAGCTTTTGAAGGAATCTTTTATCCAAGGTTCTTGGTTCACGGTTGAATTTAATAGGAAAATTAAGGAATGAAATTGCATTCAAAACTGACTGCGCTTTCTCTGGTGCGAGTATCTGTCTCCTGTGCTTATGGAGCTGCAAGATTTGCCTCCATCAAACTCACGGTAAGCATTATTCTAATTACTAAATTATTATTGTTAACAATTCTTATTAAAAAATTAAGGATGCGCCGCTCGACTCAAAGTTGACATTTAACCTCATCGAAACCGTTCAAATACAACGAGAAAGTCCTGTTCTTTAAAATATAAAGAAATGCGTTGTTTTTGTAGATCCAATACTTGAATTTAATTCGAATTTTAATAAAATTTTGCATGGCTCAAACAACATGAGCGAATTTATTGCAGACCGAAAATGTCTTTTAACTTATTAATGTTGAAATCAGTGGAAAGTTATAAATGAATAAGAAATTTTTGGCTTAGATTATAAAAGAATATATTACGTTTCTTACGTTCTCTTGTTTCCCTTATTATTTATAAGCCTAAAATTGATAAATGACCTATCATAGATAAGAACAGGATAAAAACGGGAGAATCTAGGACAAGGGATTAGCAGGCCGCTAAAAATAGAACGCGGCAGCGGAGCCTAGTCAACGGCAGCAGAGACTCCCAGGAAACGGCGGAAGGTGTCACAGGCGCGCGAGAGCATCTAGATTCAAGCGGGTGCCCCGAAATCACGCAGGTTCATTCCAAAAGGTTATAGCTTGAGGCTAAAACCTTAAATTGGGAAACTTATATTAGAGACTTTTTCTCAGCAGGAGCATTACCAATAAGACTCCTACCTGATTCAAAAAGACTCTAAGGTAGACCATCAATCGATACTACCGCTTATTTCACCTAAAGTCCAAGGACTATAAAAAAAAAAAAGGGGGAATTCCCTTCTTCAGAATCTAGAAGCGTTTTCGGCCTCTTTGACTCACCTCTCAGAGCACGGGTTTCCTTCGAAATCTTCGAACGCTAAACCGACCCACCTTGGCTCCGCCAATCAGGTGCGCCGCGATTATTTCTTAAAAAAAAGAGATTCAAACTGTGAGGAAAAAGAGAAATGAGCCGTTTCACTGCCGTTTCCAGAATCCTTGACTCTCTCATCTTTTAAAACTCCCTTTTCAGACCATGATCGAGAAAGCTTTCCTCGAGGCAGCCGAGGATTTTGCCCCGAAATGGGGAATAGCCCTGGATTCTGACCCGTCCAAGCCATTGGAAAATTCTGAAAGGAGAATCCAGACTCTGAACGAGACTGTGACCAGGAAAGGATCTTAAGCTCTCTCAGATTCTTAACTTTCTGAAATCTTTTAATATGAAGAGAGTCTTATCCATCAAAAGAAATTCCCTGCTGCTTTCGAGTCAGGTGAACTGGAAAAGAATCTCACGCACATCCACAGCGAAGCCAAAGATTCAAACAAGGCTGATCAGACTCTACGTCCCGGCGGACGCGAATGAGCCACTCTCCAACCACAGGCTGGCCTTTGATCTTCAAGCCCCTTCAAAAGCGAAGTTCAATTTCGCGGAGCTAGCATCCTGGACAAAGATCATCTTCACTTCACCCATGGGTAAAGAGTCACTTTGGGCAGCGAACCCGCGCAACGAGCCCAGCTTCACTCTCGAGCAAATTGCTGAAGAAATAGCTGAAGCAGAAAATGACTCCCCCGAAGATTGGAGCCTAGAGTCGAAGCCATTTCCCTTCAAACCGCTGCTCAGCCCAACAAAACTCCTGAAAAAAGATGCCTCAGGCATGAGCGTAGAACCAAGCGTCAACATTACCGACTCAGAGACATTGGAGGAACTCCTGAAAGCCCTGAACATAGAGAAAGGCCCGTTAAGAATCTTGGCCCGACGAGGAGACACACCAGCTTCAAAAGCCGCCCCAAAGCCTGACGAGAAGGGCAAACTCTATCCCACCAATGTGATGGAAGAATTTTCAAAATGGAACAAGCTGGCGAGCCAAGACTGGTTCCAAGCATGGGAAGACTCGGAAAATCAGAATGTCCTCAACAAGGGTTTTTGGCACCATGTCTGTCTCCGAGTAATCATGGAGGACAAAATCAAGGCTCAAGCAAATTACGAAAGACCTGAATTCCCGGATGAACACTGGCTCCAGAGACTCTTAAAAAAGGGACTGGAAGAAATCTTCAACGGACTCAGTTGCACAGAAGCAGACGCAAACCCGGCGGAATTCTTTGACTCACTCAAACAAATGGAAGCGATCAACAGCGACTGGCGCGAGATCTGCCACCAGGAGAACGCCTGGTTGACTCTCAAGAAATACGGTGAAACGAAATGGGCAAGAAAGGAACCAGCAAATAAAAACAGCTGGATTCTGGATGTTATTGGTGAATTCAGACTCGAAGACTCCGAACAACCGGTTCAGACTCCATTATCAAAAATCCTCACGCCACTAGTACTTCACCTAGCTCACCGACAGATCTCAGAAGACTCAGTCATAAGCCAAGACGGAAGCTGCGAGATTATGCTGACTCAGTGGCACATAGAATGGCTCGAGCTCAAAAACAAGAAATCGCTGAAAAAATGGATTGAAGCAGCAGCAAGAAAGGTTGTCCCCATCAACACAACCGCCAGAATCAAAGAAATTGGGGAAGGGGATTCACATTGGATAATGTGGATTCCATACAAGGTGATTCCGCAACTGTGGGTCTTCAATATTGGGAAAGATCAAATCCACCGAAGGGAGAAATCATTGCTCTCACTAGCAGCTCACCCAGGACTCGCTCCGGAAGAATCAGAAGCGCTAAAGACTCTATCAGCCCAACCATGGACCGAAGAGAACGTCCGGAAATGCATCAGACAATTCCAAAAGCCCACCAGAAATTTCTACGCGTCAGGAAAAGCCTGCATTGTGGGAGTCAACCGCCCCTTCTCGACTCAAAAGGACATTCTCGAAATCATCGGGAAAATAGTCAGAGACACAAAAGCTTGCCCTCAGTCCCGCTCAATAGAGCACAACCTCGGAGTCCTGACAGCTGGATGGAACTGGACAAGTGGCAAAAGATTCAGCCCAAACTCGATTTTAAGATGCTTCATAGACAAATGGACTCAAAAGAGAGAAGAGATTTCCAAAGTGCCAAGACTCCAATTCCAGCGCGAAAAACTGGAAAAACGGAAAAGATCCTGCGAATGGCCGTTCTGCGGCGAAGCCGATGGAGATTCAGCCTGGTGCAGCAAACACCAGGAAGCACAGGAGATCAGAGAACTCAGACAGCCTCAATGCACGGAAAGCTGCATGTCCAGAAATGGGATGTTCCAAAAAGGACTCTCAGGAAAGCGTCTCGAGATCGGAATCTCCAGCGACGAGTGGCAACAAATCTATGTCAGACTCTCAGAAGCCTTCAAAACCCCTAACCTAGCAGACCTTGACGCTGAGCTCATCCAAACCATCCAGAACACCACTGTTCACGGTTTTGACTCAGTAATAGAAGCATGGACATCGACAACGATCCTCTTCCAAGGGCAGAACGACTCTACAGCAAGCTTCAGAAAGCTCGAGGACTCCGAGAAATGGATAGCGAAAAGGCCACGTCAGGAGAAGCCAGAAGCGGCGGGAATCGTCATTTACCACGCTGGCCTTGCAAGATGCGGCAAAAAGTTTGACGCTTTCGTGGTAGGAAACAAAACGGCCGGAAAGAATCGGCACTTGGAGAATCTAGCGAAGGAAATCTCCAAGAAATCAGGAGATAAATGGCTCGAAGTAGCAGAGCTGATCAGCGAGCACACAAGATTCAAACACACGACTCTGCTCCTACCTTCATACGAAGACGCAAAAGAACTCCGACGGGCCTTGGTCGCCTGGGCAGCACCGTATGTTCGATTCGTTACTCAGACTCTGGAAAAGGGCTTCTTATCGAACCTCAAAGGAGACCGAAATCAACGATATTCAGGATTCTGGGAAATCTTCTCAATGGCTTGCGATGGAGACTATGAATCTAGAATCACACCTTGTTGGGGCCACCCAAGAGTGGCAGAATTCATGGCCAGAAGCTGCAACAACCTTGGGACAGCGAAAGAAGGAATCCAGAAAGTGGAAGGACTCAGAATCAGAGCCAACAGAACAACTTGGGAAGACGCGGAGTCAAAAAGACACAAACTAATGCCAAATACCCCTTTCTCGACTCACCTCCGGGACATCTTGCTGGACGGAATCAGAGCCGGAGAAAACCTCGACATGGAAGGGAACGAACGAGCCGGAGCAGAAAATTTCTTCCCCAACGTCTGGACTCAAACACAACAGACTCTCGAAGATCGGATGGCACGACTAGAGCTCCTTAAAGCCGACAACTAGATTCAAATTCAGGAACGGACTCAAAGATAAAATACTTTTAGCGTCAAAATAAATGAAAAATTGAGTCAAAATTAGCCACCCCAGCCAAAACACTAGAATCAAGGAACAGGTTTACATGAATCTACCGATTAAGGCAGCTGAGCGAGCCAAATTAAAAAAAAAGAGAAAAATCTTATTGTAAACCTTCAAAAACAGCCAAAAACCCTTCCTCCTCTTCTTCTGACTCCCTACTGCCATCTTCTGGAGTCCACAAAACGCACAAAAAGAATCCATTCCAGGCCAGGTCCAAGATATTTAAGCATAAAGAGTCAAAATAGCATTTTAAAACAAGATCCGGGACCGTGGGAAAGTCTTTCCGCGACCCGAGAATCGGGGGCGCTGATTGGCTGGCGCGCGCGCCAATGGACAAAGGACGGGATCAAAAGCCAAATTCTCAGAAATTTTTCCATTTTCAAAGAATCAAGGATTAAAATCCCAAGAAAAAGAGAATCTCAGACGCAAAAGAAGCCAAACCAAAAAGAAAAATTTAGCTTTCATTTCTGACTCGAAAATTGTTTCTAGATTCCCTTCCATCCCAAATTCTCCTGGCGCCAAAAATTTTTCAAATCCCCAGACTCTAAAACGAAACTTTTTTTCAGACTCAGAAATGCCAAGAGACGCAGAAAAAGTCCAGATGCCCAGCGGGGATGAACTAGAGAGACTCCGAAACGAAGCTGGAATCGTCCAAGACCCCATCGGCGACGAAAACTTCTGGAGACAGAGAAAGTCGGCAATCAGATCCGACCCGGTGACGCAGAGACCGAACGAAAAGAAGGGCCGAATGCTCAACCGGATGAGACGCAGAATCGCAGACAGATTCACTGATCTGCTGGAACAGATTCTCGAAGGAAAGGGTCCTCTTAATTTCCCAAGAATATTTAAAATAAAAGAAAAAGCTTTGATTAAAAACTTCTTAAAGAAAAAGAAGGAAAAGAAATGACCCAAATTAAAGGATTCTCCGATCCAAACAGGCAGATGAGTCTCGACGGCTGGCAACATGCGATCAACGGCGCTTCGAACGTTCTCTCGGATCTTATCCGAGAAGAAAACGGAAAGTTCAACGAAGACGACCAGAATCAGTCAGACGAGAGTCTTTTCTACGGATGCCTCAACACCGCCAAGACCACCATGGACATCCCACCGCTCCTCAACGTCGTCTACGTCGACAAAGACCGCCAGATTCCAGAAGGAAGACTCCCCGCCTACCAAGAGAGAGTCTCAGCTATCAAGGAATGGGTTCAAAAAAATTCTAGAACTAAAAAACAAGAAACTTAGTACGCCTAATAAAAGGAAAGAAAAAGAACCCGAAATAAAGTCCAGAGCGGATTTCCTGTTCAGGAAAGATAGACTCCCAAAAAGAGGCGAAGACTCCCTCGAGTCCTGGAAGGAGAAGCGAAGAGACGAGTACATCAAAGACGGAGTTCCAGAGGACATCGCCAGAGTCCTGACCCGTCGAGACTCAGGAGTCATCGGTTGGACGTCGAGACGAGATGGAACCTGCCAGACCGACAGTGTGGACGCTCAGCAGGCCAAGACTCAGCAGACTCAGACCAACTCAGGGACTGGTTTTGAAAACCCGAAACAGAAATATAAGACTCAAATCAGTCAAAACTTGACTTCATAAATTCGGAAATCAAACCATTCAAAGACTCAAAAGACTCCGAGACTCAAACCGAGATGTCCAGCACCTCGATGGCGACCCAAACATCAGCGCCTGCGACGGAAACTGGAACAATTAGCGACACAGACTCAGAAGATTCTTTCAACGCACGCTCAGATCCAAACCAGTTCTTCCCTCCAGGCTACCAACGAAATGTGGCGCTGACGGATCAAGACTCCGGCTCCGACTCCGACGACCAAGCGATCAGAGAGTCCGACGACGAGGGAGACAACCAGGACTGGAACCGACGCACCGATACCCTCTTCGCTTCAGCAGAAGAAGAGGCAGAGGCAAAAGAAAGAAGCGCGAGAATCGCCAAAGAAATGGAAGAACGCCAGGACCAGCCACTGTCGGACATCATCGAGGAGTCTGAAAGCCGATCGCTGGAAAGAATGGCTCAGAAAGAAGAGGCTGAAGCTCAGCGACGAACTCAGAAGGCGCGCATCGACAGACTCAAGCAAGAAGCAGAGGCAGAAGCCCAGAGAGCAGCGGACAAAGCCAGAGCCAAAGAAGCCTTGAAGATCCAGATGAAGAGACAACTGGACGAGAACACCAGAATCCGCCGGGAATACGCCGAGCAAATCCAGCGCGAAAAAGAGGCGAAAGAAGCTCAAGAAAGACGCATGGCTCGAGACAAGGAGGCAGAAGAAAAACGACTCGCTGCGATCAAGGCTGCAGAAGAAAAAGTCCTCACAGAGCCGAGAATTGGAATCAGACTCGTCGCGGAGACCGGAGCCAAAGGCAACTACTACTACCTCTCGAAGAAGGAATCCAAGCTGATGGAAAGATCCGCAGGAAAGGGCCCTTAGACTCAAAACAGTAGACTTCAAATCTAAAAACTCTAAGAATCTAAATCCCAAACCAAAAGAAAAAAGTCTTTTCTCACAAAACTAACATATCAGGGCCCCTTTAAAAGTTCGAGACATGCTCGACAACCGAAGCATCAGCAACTTCAACGAGGTCAAGCAAGCCTGGTTCAGCAGCACCGGACTCCAGAAGTTCAAAGACTCTCGACTCCCCGGCCACCGCCACTACAAATACAACAACAGAAGCAGCTGGGAAATCAAGGAGGGAACCACGGAATGGAGACTCGACCCAATCGACTACCTCACCAAAGAAGAAAGAGCTGTCATCCATTATGTGGTGGAGTTTTTAAACTATGAAGGAATCAAACGAAGATTCAAAGAAGCCATAGGTAAGACACACAAAATATAGAAAAAAAAAAAAAGTAATAACCAGCAAAATAAGAGTCATAAAAACTTATGCAAATCTTTAGACTCTGGACTCCTCAAGCCAAAGAAGCTGGACGTCATCCTTCTCTTCGCGTACAAAATCTGTGGAAGTAACCTGGTCCACTACATGCGCTTCATCTTCGTCCGACTCTACAAGCTCCACGAGATTCCCATCCCTCCAGTGCACTCCGACGCTGCACCAAGACCACCCAGATACTAGAAGACTCAAGAATACAAACTGCCATGAAAAAAAAAACCTCATTGATAAAAAACTGTTAAACTGACTCTTACTTCCCACTGAAAAAAAAGACTCTTTCACATTTTTAAATCAAAATTGACAGAAGCTGTGCTTAATAAATTAACCCGATCTCACTAGAAGATCCTAGACTCTTTCTTGACTCCAAAATGAAGAGCATATTCAGAACCGAAAAAGAATAAATAATAAATACAAAGAAGCTTAAACTTTTTCGCTTTTCAGACGCAATGGAATCGCAATATCTAACACAAAAAGAAGCGCCTAATGCGCTAGAAATGCCATCGGATTCAGGGAGCGGCTACAAGAATCAATATTAAAATAAAAAGAAACTTAAAAAAGAGGCCAAAAAAGCCCTAAGCAGGCCTAAAAATCCTAAGCCAGTATAAAAGAGGATTCGAATGCGGAAGCACCCTCAGACGAACCATCCCAAGACTCATCCCCAGCAGCAGATGCAGGTGCAGCCGCGGGCGAAAACCCAGCGCAGATAGAACACTCAAGCGTCGACTTAGAGATGCTCAAAGGACTCGTCTGGGACATACAAAATAGTCTCAACACGAACGCAGCAGTCCCACCAAAAAGAATCCCATGCTACGGTTCGACTCTCGCCGAGAAATTGACGAACCTCGCAGCTGAAGCAACCAAGATCATTGCAGAGTCACAGGAAGTGTCCAATAGCATCAGAAAGATTCTACAAGAAGCTGACAACGAGGGCCTCCAAGGGGCTCAAATGCTGGAAACCTTCCGCACTATTGCCATACTGGCCCACAGCCCTTCGATTGGGATCAACCGCCGTCTAGCCTCAACCAACAAAGTCGACATAGAAAACATCCAAGACACGCTCGAACACACAGTCAGACCCCTCGTCTCGGACCTTATGCGACAGGTTTATGAGAAAAGCGTCTATAACTCGGACGAAATCGCATTTTGGGCAAGAATGATGGAGCCATTAGAAAGAGACTCGATCTCCAAACCGGATCTCCTCAAATTGGAAGAGGGTGTGGCATGGATTCTCCTAAGACTCTGGGGAGAGCCGGCGGAGGCCATCTTCAGAATGATTCTAGCGCAATGTAAGCCCCCAGAAGAATCGAACTCTCGGATATCGCCAAGACTCACAATGGTGGCCCACATTTGGAACTGCAGATTCAAGAAGATGCTCGGACGCCCGCCGGCGGAAAGACGAGCTTCTTTTGCAAACGAGAGGCAACTGTGTGCAACAATAGCGAATGCGATCTTCGGAGAAATCCATTTCCAATTGACCAACACCAGATGCATCTTCCCAAGACTCCTCTCGAGTGCAGCCAGATCGGCCTGGACTCATTTGAACACAATCTTCGGGCCCGCGAACCCACTTAGCCTAACGCTCAGAAATTTTCTAACGAACATTGACGCGAATCAAGATTACACTGCGTGGGACGCGATTGGCACGCTGCGCAAACTATGGCCGCATAGAGACGCAATTCCAGAGGCACAATACAAGACGCTGAACCTCAACGACATCGATAATCGGCTAGAAAAAGGACTCGAAGATCCGTCCTCACTCTACGGCACCACGTACGAGAAGCTCTTCTGGAAAATTCCGATCCCAAGAAGCTATGAGTCTACCTACCCAGTCGCAGGACCCAAAAGAAAGAGACAAAAAACAGAAGACGAAGAGCTGGAAGGAAATAGAGGCGGAAATGAAGATTCTCGCCAATAAAGGAGTCTTCAACAGACAAAAAATCCCAATTATCTACCCTGTCACCATAAGCAACACAATCACAAATGGCCCAAAAACTTTACCAGAATGGAAAATCTACGAAACAGAACTGCTGCATAGAGTCATCAGAGTCTTAAACAACGAGGAAAAGCCAGATTGGGACAAATTAGCGCTGAAGAAAGAATCAGATTTCGTCTCAGGACTCTGGACACACAACAAAGACAACTGGAGGACACTTATCCATCAAATGCCAGAGAAAATACGGCCACTAATTTATCACTTTGTCCACGCGGGTGCCGACCTATTCCTGAACCTCAAACGGATCCCCCCGAAGAAACCGGAAAGATTCAAACACAAAGAGCTGGTGACAATATGGAAGAGAAACGAAGCCAACACGGAAACTCTGAAAAAACTGGGTGGAAATTTTAAAACCTGGTACAATGATAGACTCAGACTCTCAAAATTCGTGCCACGCCCTTATGAGAAAATCGGTAAACGATTCAAGACTCTGTCCGTCCCGAGCCAAGAAGCAGTGAAAGAAAGGAACGAAGAAATCATCAACCAAATAACCGAGTGGTGCGACATGGGATCAATCTCAAGACTCACAGACTCGAAAAAATGCTGGATTCAGGCAGGATTTGTCCTCGTCGACAAGCCAGGAAGGGAAACCAGAGTCTGCTGGAATGGTGGAGTCCTCAAGCCGCTCCAACTCTACACCTTTCCCTGCAAATTAGAAGGAGTCGGAGCAGCGATTCAGATGCTAAAAAAGGGAGACCTACTCTTCAAATTCGACGATAAGAAGGGTAAGGAAACTCGGCCAAAAAATCTGTCAAATAACACCGAAGCCCTAACCACATCTTAAGGTTTCCACCAGCTTCCGCTCAGCGAGGAAAGCAGGAAAATGGCATGCTTCGAATGGGGAGGCCAAGTCTTCAGAAACAACATCCTCGCCTTCGGAATCCCGGCAGCACCAGGAATCTATCAGCTCATGAATCTCTGCGGAGTCAACTTCCTAAGGAAAAATGGAGTCAGGATAACACTCTATCTAGATGACAGACTCTTGGCAATCACACCAGACTCTGATAAAGAACGAAAAGAGCTCCTCACAGGCGAGAAAATAAGCAAAGAAGTCTGGGCTACAGTTGCGACTCTAGTGGCCCTTGGCGGATACGTCAACATAGCCAAGAGCACATTTACACCCACCCAGAGAATCGAATTCTTGGGTTTCATTCTGGACACAACCGAAGAAACTGTTGAAATACCGTTGCAAAGATGGGAAGCCCTCAAAACCCTTATGAAAGACGCAGAGGCCAAGAAAACGATCCAGACAAAAACGCTAGAAAGAATCAGAGGCACAATGGCGAGCATGGCAGAAGTACTGACAAACATGAGGATGCTTATTCGACAAACAACGATTCTCATCAGCCAGGCATTGAGAGAAGAAAAAGAAACCTGCGCCCTATCAGAAGAGGTCAAAGAAGAATGGAGACTCTGGAGCCTGCTAGAAGAGAAAGGGCTCAAAAGACACTGGACAAATTTAAATCGCCAAGAGACAGGCCTAATAATTTACACAGACGCATCCTCTCACGCGGGGGCCATCGTTATTGAGCAATGGAACTTAGAAGAAAGATTCGCTTGGGAACCAGATCTGGCAGACAAGCACATCGGGATCAAAGAGGCAGCGGCGATCCAATTCACTCTGGAATGGTACGGGCAGAAGCTGAAAGACAAAAGAATCCTATTTTTGTGCGACAATGATAGTGTAGTCCAAGGTGTAATAGCCGGAAGCAAAGATCCGGAAATGAATAAGATTCTAGTCAGAATCTGGACTCTAGCGCAGCGCTCAAACATCGATATGAAAGTCGATTGGGTTAGCACCAAAAAACAACTTGCAGATGGCCCCTCAAGGAATTTAGACTCGCGAGAACAAAAACTAACGGCTGACGGATTCGCATATCTTCAATCTCACCTCTCGGACTCCTTGGACGTCGACGTGGCAGCAACGGTAAATTGCCTAAAGACTCGAACCAAATTATTTAACAAAATTCAGCCACTGAACGCGAAATGCAGAGACTTCATCACGCGCAGAGAGACAAGAGGAGCTTTTGGAAAAGATTTCCTTAATTTCCCGATTCATGAGCTCATAGGAAGAAAGCTGTATGCATTCCCGCCTCCCAAAACAGCCCACAGATTCTATAACAGACTCGTAGAAATAGCCACGCCCTGGGCATTAGTTGTCCCCTGTTTCGAATCAGAACCACTGGTAATCACAGAAGCCAGAATCAAGGGATACAGAATCTTCGACATCCCGGCTGACTCAATCCTCACCCCAGCAAAAGTTAAAACAGCCGACGGCTACTGGAAAGTGGCATCTAACATCTCAACCATAAAAGTCGCCACAAACAGACTCTGATATACCGATTCTGCCCCCTTTTCACACTCGACTCAAAAGGCCAGCAAGAATAGCCACTTCTGGCTCGTAGATTCTCCTAAAAAAAAAAACACCACTTACCCAACCTCACCACTATACCAAACTAGAAACAAAAGCCTTGGCGGTAACTCCTTCCTTTTTTCAGACTCGAAATCCTTGGAAAAAATGTCGGATCAGACCAAGACTCTCTCCAAGCTGCTGGCGGACCACACCAAGCTCACAGAGCAAGAGGCGAAGACACGAGCGGCAAGAGTCCAAATTTCAAAGGCCCAATTCTTCGAAATCGCTCAATCCAAGACGAGAACGGAAGAGGCGGACAGACTTTTCATGGAAATCGAAGACATCAAGAAGGACATGTTGACTCACGACAAGTTCACCGACTCCCTCATCGTAAGTAGATGACTAGAATAAAATTCAAAACCCTCACCGCTTTTTCATAGGCGGAAATCGCGGAACTAGAGGCCAACCGCGACAAGAGTCTTGCGATCAAGGAAAACGAGCCAAACGCCAAAAAACGGTCAGAAGAAGATAACAAATTCTACGACCGTTGGAATCCAGCGGAGTTGGAGTCGAAAATCCGCCGGCTGATTGCGGACAAGATGGAGCGATACAGCCTCAAGGGATCCATGTTCGCCCAGATCAAGGCTCGAGAGTCAAAAATCGCCGAACTATCTTCAGGCGGCTCGGAAACTTCGGCGGTCTTCAAAGAAGTCGACCCGCTCACAGGAGAAGAGTCTTATTTCATGGTAAGTCCAGAAATTCAAAGGAAAATAACAAATGCACGCATACCAATAAACAGAAATCTATACAATTCCACTCAAAACACGCTTCAGACTCAAATAGGCACAAGCAACCTGCCTCAGGACGACGGCGACTCTCTTCGGGAAATGGGCAAGGAATTCCGAGCTTTCGTCTCAGACGCGAAAAACCAGCGCACCTTCAAAAAGGACAAGCTCATGCGACTCCTGGGCAACTACAAAAGAGCCATGTCCCCAGAATACCCGGAGCGAGCAATCATCGAAAGCATCTTGGACGAACTGATCAGGATGCCCGATATGACTCGAAAAGACGCGCTGCTCTCACTCACGGTAAGACTCGTAAAATAGCAACCCTGCTTTTAAAGCGTCGCATTCAGCCGCTCATGCGCCCGAACGTCCGACACAGCTTCGATCGCGCACTCACGATGAACACCAACCACCATGTCTTCAAGAAAATGATCGGCAACCCCTGTGACGGCTCTGAAGACTGGCGGTCGGAAAAAGACTCGAAACCGGGTCGAGGACGCCGAGGTGGACACAATAACGGCGGTCAATCAAAAGCAAAAACTGACCACCAAGGTGACGGCCAAAAGGCCAAGGACGGAGACAACGAGACTCATTCCGGAGGCCGCGGGCGAGGCCGAGGCCGAGGCCGAGGTCGCGGAAGAGGCCGAGGCCGAGGAGGAGGAAATGCTGGTGGCGACACCAAGAAATTCCAAGATCAGGGTGGAGTCGAATAAAAATCACCACTGAAAGAAGCGCAACAAGCCAGAAATCTCAAACTAGCCGACTATAGACTCTCAGCTTTTTAGGACTCTTAAAAAAAAAACTGCTTCAAATGCTTAAAATTCTCAGATAGCTCTTCAAAGGAAAGGTCTCAAATTTTCAATTCTTAAGAACCATGACCTGGCTCGACTACAAGAATCTCCTGGAACACTGGGAAGTAGCAGAAGCAATGGCCACGTTCAGTTACGACGAAGCCGAAATCGACGACGTGATTCAACACTTCCTCGACAGACTCCTCACAAGACCGACTCTCAAGGCCTACGCCTACGAGAAAGGGATCGTAACGATCCAGGACGTCATCGTTTCTCGACTCAAAAAACCGCTCACCCCGAAGCAAAAACGGAAAATAAAGACCTGGTGCGAGCACAGAGCGCGGGAGTCAGCAACCCAGACTCTGCAATACCCAAAGGTATAAAAAAAAAAAGGGAGACCCAGCCCGAAAAATAATACTCCTTCAAGCAAGCGGAGGTCGTCGACGAGCCCGAGGCAATCCGACTCTGGGAAGAGCTCCTGAAGACAAATAAGCCCAAGCCAAGAGAAGCGGCCATCGCTTTCTTCATCTGCTTTACGACGGGAGCAAGAATGAAAGAAGCGCTCAATCTCAGAGTCGAAGATCGAGAAGTCGTTACCGAAGACGGAAACGAATTTTGGCGATTCCATATTCGATGCAGCAAAACCGATCCGTTCTGCAAGCGAATGGAAACCCTCACCATCGTTATGGACATGCGGCATGGAGTCCCACTCGGCCTAGAACTTAGAGCCCAACTCAGGGATCGAGATTCAGGTACTTATAGCACTTATTACTCAAGACTCAACAAGAAACTTTTTTAGGCCTTGTTCTCAAGACGCTCGAAGGCCATACTCGCATCGCATCTGACTACCTGGCGCGCTACGGAGCCAAGGCAAAACTGTCAAAAAAGGTAACCAATCAAGGAAGAAAACAAAACTCAGATTAATAAACGTCGTAGGTCTCGGCGCACACGGGAAGAGTCAGTTTCTACATCGAGGGACGCCGAACAGGCTTATCACAACAGACTCTAGCACACACACTCCGTTGGGCACCGGGAAGCTCCATGCCAGACTACTACGAAAGGTGCTGGCTTGAATGTAGCAACTCAGGAGCGCCGGTCAGCGTGGCAAAATCTAGAGCCAGAAAACGAAACGACAGCACTAGCAGCGACCAAGACCAACCAAAGGTACTAACATTTAAAAATCCAAGAATCAATTATGAAAGGCCTTAGAGTCAAGAACGACCAGAAGCAAGTCAAAAGCCAAAGAAGCCGAAAAACACTGCTGAAGAAGCATAAAAAGAAAAAGATGCCTTTTTCCACTTTTAAACAGACTCGAATAAAAAAAGACTCATTTTTACGATTGATGAGAATAACAAGAATGGTAGGGAGGGAATATTCCCATTACCATTGTTATTTATGCGTGATTATAATACGAATCTAGGACAAGGGATTAGCAGGCCGCTAAAAATAGAACGCGGCAGCGGAGCCTAGTCAACGGCAGCAGAGACTCCCAGGAAACGGCGGAAGGTGTCACAGGCGCGCGAGAGCATCTAGATTCAAGCGGGTGCCCCGAAATCACGCAGGTTCATTCCAAAAGGTTATAGCTTGAGGCTAAAACCTTAAATTGGGAAACTTATATTAGAGACTTTTTCTCAGCAGGAGCATTACCAATAAGACTCCTACCTGATTCAAAAAGACTCACCCACCCACCATCCCTGAAATAAGCAGTACAAGTAGGGTAAATCGAGCACACGCCCTACATACTGCCCAGTCCTAACCTTAGAATCTCAGCGGAGCTTCTCTTACCACAGTATTGTAATTGCGCGTGCTCGGGAATATTCCCATTACCATTGTTATTTATGCGTGATTATAATACTAATGCCGAACTGCGATTCTTTGTTCGCGACAAACTTTCATAGAAAATCCATGAGAAAAACTGGCCAATCAGAGACCTGTATTTGGCCTACCGGCCAATCAGTGGCCAGTATTTTTTTCGGGAAAAGTTTTTCGCCAATAAAGAATTGCTGTTTGGCATATTCCCATAATACCAGGAGAAATAAATGGTTTTTCTTCGTTGCATCGTAGCTTGACAGCTTTATTTAGGCCTTCGGCTTAAGTCCATAACCAGGAATAAACTTAGGGGGTGTTGTGACAGAGTTTGCGAAATCAAAGTTTGAAAAATCTGGACATTTAGCTTTAAGAGCATCAGTAAGTTTATCAAAATTTCGAACGCATAAATTATAAGTCAATTTGGTGAGTGCAAATTTTTGGGAAGGCTTAGGGGTTGTTGAGATAGGGAGAAGGTCTGGACATCTTGCTTTCTCAGCATCAGTAAGGCTCTCATAATGTTTCGGTTTACAAAAATATTCAAGCCTCCAATCAGGCTTTGGTTTGCACATCTTTTTATGCGTTTTATCAAATTCATTTATTTTCCCATCGATAAATCTAACCATGCGTTTTGAACTCCATTTCTTGTAAGTATTACCGTCCATGCACACAAAAGCATTATGAAAGCTCTTGACGGATATGAAGAATTTTTTGACCATTTCGCTGTTGATAAATACTTTTGGTTTTATGAAATCGTTTTCATCACCTGAAACAGCGAATTCTGAGCAGTTAATTTTCGTTCTGACGGCAAAATTCTCTACACGCTCGAAAAAAGCGACAAATTTCTTTGCCGACATTGGGTTGCAATCATACTTATTATACGTTTTATCGGAAATTCTGGCGAGAATAGTCTCGTAGGCGTCGACGATATTGTTCCATGCGGTAGCTGATTGCTCGTTCAGTGACTTACTCGCAATCGAAGAAAAGAACAAAAAGAATATCTGAATTTTATAATAAGAATTTCGAATTTAATAAACAAAAATTGAGAAAATTGTGATTCTCTTGTTATACCTTTCTCTTCATAGTATGATAAAAAAAAGATCTTTGAGAAAATTGGGAACAAAATTCGTTAATGAATTTGTCGTAGTCGCCCTTACCACTAGATGAGTTCATGAGCAAAATAAAACTCTCTTGATATGAGCACGCATATTTCTTGAAAATCCTTGTTACCACAAGTGCATCGCTAAAGAGGTTTAATAGAATGTCATGAGAGTTCAACCACTTAGTTGATACTTAATATCGTCCTGCGGGTTGTTTTTTATAATTTGCTATTTTAAATTTTGAGCATTTTATTCGTCTGAACAATTGTGAAAAAATAGTATCTCTTATCGTTTTTATGACTCATATCTGACTTTAAATTGCCGGTTCGCCCAGTCGTGTCACCGTGGTTTTCCATCTTAAGAGCGCCCAACTTAAGAGCGTTTTTTCCAATATTTTTAATATTTTGTCATCTGAAAAAATCCCAACTTTAGAGCGTTTTTGGGAATAATTAGTATAACGTTTGAAAATCATTGAAAAAAATTTTTTTCTACGCTTTTTTTCAGGTGAAATAGCCTCTGATTCAAAGATCGTAATTTTTTTATCATAAATAGGTAAAAATGACATGAGATGCATTTTAAGAGTTTTGGAAAAAATTCATATTATGCATTTTCATTCATTATTTTTTCCCACTGTCATCCTAGTTTGGTCGTAAATTTTCCAACTTAAGAGCGTTTTGGTCTACCCTTGTCATCTGAAAAACGCTCTGAAGATGGAAAACGACGGTATATCAATTTAAAATGACAATATTTGGTCAAAATCCTTATGCGTCGAAAAATAAGCAATGAAAGGTCTGAGAATTGAGTTCTGAAATCAAGGAGGACTTATGGTATTGTATTAACCCGAGATAATAAAATATATTTGAAAATATGCTCATTCATTTTGAACCAGTAGAAATTCCTTTTCGACTCTTGTCAGAGTATGAAAAATATTTTTGAATAGCAGCAAATAAAAAGCAAATATAACAAAGTATAAGATTATTAAAAAGTAGGAAAAGAAGGTAAATCGAGTTTTCCTTTTCAGTTTCTATCGCTTATTTTTGTCCAGCAAGAAAAAGTTGAAAGAAGAAAACCAGGTTGGAAAGTGTTGTTTACGCAGTAAAAAGCGATGTTCGTTTAGTTGGTGGCGGTGCGCGCACCTGTCAGCATCTTCGTTGAGTATTATTAAATGGACAATAATTCATCATAAACTATTCGTAAACATTTCGAGCGCGGTTTTGCGAAGGTGTCAACTTTTACATTCTTCGCAAAACAATATTCGCCACACTTTCACCTCCCAAACGCATTATATTTACAGTAATTTGAATTTTAGAAAATGAAAAAAATAGAAAAAGGAGGATTTTCACTTCCCGGGATCATCTTTTTCGCCAGGCGGAAGGGTGAAACTTCCGCGCGAAAACAAACTGACGAGCAAAATACGAATTATTTTCTGAATTTCCGATTAAAAAACGGAAAACATCATGATAGGAAGAAATGGAAAAATTTTTTTTTGAACAAAATTTCTTGGAAAGTGAAAAACAGAATCGCCGAGGTGATTTGGCCTCGGTTGTGGCAGGTGGGCATTTCTCGTCCGTTTTTTGAGACGTTCGTGGCGTCACGTGATTTGAGTGACGGAGGTGCCTTCTGCTTCGACGGGTTGAACGGCGAACGTGTTCCGTCCTGCGACAAGTGCTTAGATCCCGACGATAGATCCAACAACCCAACGCCCCTTTTTCGTTACTATTGCCGCAACGTGCGACGCAAACCGACGCAACAAAATACACCGAATGACGATTCAGCAAAAACAAAATAAAGAATGTCCAATAAAGACTTTTTCAATAAAAAATATCAATGGATTCGGCTCAGAAAACCGGGCTCGGCACCCTGCGTAGAAAACCTGAGTCAGGTTTTGAAAGGCTAAAATTCTAAGCCGCACTGCGGCTTTTGATAATAAAGCCGCAACGCGGCTTCGCCATAATTTTTGATAGCGGCTTCGATATAAAAGAGCCGCTACGCGGCTTTTCATTGAAGACCTTTCAGACCCTGACTCAGGTTTTCTACACAGGTCGTCGAGCCCAGTTCTTGGCTCAAAAACCGTCTCTATCTCGCTCTAGAATTTGGCTTCCCAGGAAGTATAAGTGTCTATTTACCCGACTTTCTGATTAAAGAAAACCCGCCAATTGTCAAAATGCAAACAATTGGGGTGAATTGGCAAATATCCGGCAAATCTTAGAAAACTTGGAAATCAGCGAAAAAGCGCCTATTTGTTTTGCAAATTTTCGAAAACTTTGAAAGCGTTTCAGAGCTGCTCGAATCGGTCATCAAAAGAGACCTCTTGTTGGCGCAAAATAGGAAAAACAACCGCGATTCCAGAGATTTGCAAAATGTATTTTTACTTGAAATCACTTCCGTTCTGGCCTCCGTTGATTTAATTTTGGAGACATTTAGTTTCAGAAGTCAGGAGCTATTAACCGAGGTTTTTTTGAAGAATTTTTTGAATAGTTTTTGAAAAGAAAAGTTCAAACTATCCTTCTCTCAAAAAATACAATGACTAAGCAAAAAAGCGATGAGCTTGTTTGAAAGCAGCGAAATTGAGCAACCGCAAAAACGCGTGAAAATTGATGAAGCGCCGCTCGGAGTTGCTGCTTTGTTCCCCCAAGTGGCTTCGTTATGAGAACCGGGACGAGCGCTTTTTCAATCTTTGGATACCAGCGGCTTTCGCTTCAAGTACCCCAAAAGCGGCTTCCTCAAATAAAGACAAAGTTATGAACTTTTCAAGCTTCATTTTTTAAATAAGATTTTTTTCAGAATTTCGTGAAAAAAATATTTTTCCCAAATTCGAAAAAATAATTTTTCTACCATCATCATTGATTCTCGATTCTGAGATGTTGCATCGTGAGCTATCGTTGTTTTGGCGCGTTGGGCTCGGAGGAACTCTTGCTCGGCTCTCTTGCATCACGTGGCCTCGTCGGAGCTTCTCGTCGCTCCGTAAATCGGCAAGGAGAGGCTCACGGCAATCCAAACGGCAAATATTATTACGTGAGAGATGTACAACCCTCGACGCTGTTGTGAACACATCGCCCGAGAAAAAATTACGGATCGGAGCAAAAAAGCAAAAGCTGAATACAACTGTTCAACGAGGTTTCGGGGCGGAGTCGATTTTTAGAAAACTCGATGATAAAAAACATTATCATCTTCTTTCAATTGGAATAAGGGTGGATAGTGCCAAGCTTGGGCTCGGCAGCCTGAGAAGAAAACCTGAGTCAGGGTCCGAAAAATGCTCTGAGAAAAGCCGCTCTGCGGCTTCGTTCTTAAAAGAAGCCGCGGTGCGGCTTTAAAGTTCATGTCATTCAGACCCTGACTCAGGTTTTTACTCAGGATATCGAGCTCAGA